CCCCACCCATTTTGCCTCCTAAGGGGCCGGGGCCCCTGCATATTGCCGAGCCTTCAACGCGCCTCGCCTGGCCTCGCCATGTGCCACAAAACCCTAAAAAGCTGCACCACAGGCGGTGTGGCTGGGCGGGCCGGGCGCCTTATGTCCGACTGCCCCCACAAGCAGCCAAATGTGCGTCGCACGATGGACTACATCCGTGTGTTCCTATAGCAGTCCAGTCCCAGAGTCCACGACACTTGTACGGTAGCTGTACGGCCTTGGTGTTCCAGGTCAGCGGGGACACACTGTGTGCCATGAAGCACAGCCCAATGAGTTTCAAAGGCGTACCACGCCAAACCCTTGGGCCGTGTCCGGCTGTGTCCGGCTCACCCATCTAGGGAACCGCTGGGATATGCAGCTGCAGCAGCAGCTGCAGCAGCAATCGCTGGCACCTCGGGCAACCTCTGTCTCAAGTGCATGTATTCACTTTCGCCAGCAGATCCATTCACCGCATCCAGACCCATCCAATGCTTATACTTCGCCATGTGAATTCCTGGTTGCTTGCCGTCTGACGGGTACACGTCAGGCTGGACAACTAAACGCATATGCTTCCAACCACTCACCAATCGGTCCGTGAACTCCAATACCACACCTCCTGGCAATGGCCTGTTCATCAGACCATTCCACTCGTTCGTCTACCTCGTGTAGCCTCAGAAAACATAGAAAACGGAGGAGTAGTGTCCCCCATCCGGCCCCTTCGGGGTTGGAGAGGGACTCTGCGACCTCTTGTCGCAAAACTTGGTGTGCCACAGACTCACACTGCAAACGGACACGGTTCCCAAACCTGACAACCTGTTTGAAAACGTGGTAGTGTAGGGGTAGCTGCGACAGTTCGGCAAACAGGAAGCGATTTGTTGGTCTGGCAGCTCCGACAACTTGTCGCATGAACGATATCTGAAGCTGCACTGCTCCGTCCTTTAGGCATGCCTCGAAGCGCCCCTCCGCAAGGTTGCTCGCATCTCTCCGCCTCCTGCGCCTGTCCAAGACCTCAGCTAGCATAAACGGCCCCCACGCCTGACAACCATACAATAGTATTGCTCGTACCTGCGTGTCGAAACACCTCATCCTCACGTCTGGGGCGAACAACTTTAGCTTATCCAATTTGTACCCAACGCGAACATAGCTGCTCTAGCTGTGTCGTACAACTGCTGACGGCAGGCCCAGAACGACGTTCTGGCCCATACACTAACCCCAGATATCGTGCACTATCCTTAGCCGGTATGGCCTCACCAGCCAGCCTGAGCTCATCACACAATGCTTGGACAGCGCTCCTAGTGTCGTTGTCGCTCGCAAAAACGAGGCGTTCACATTTCGACACATTTGGACGCATCCCAAAATCATCACAGAACATGTTCACAATGTTGAACAGCTCCCCCATTCGTCCCGGTGTTGTTGCCAGAAGACCCGTGATAGCTCAGAGACATCGGTCGTGCTGTATGAAGTACGGAAGAAGGTCCTCCAGGTAGATGGGCAAGCACATCAGTAGGGAGTACCCTGAGCATCCTGAGGAGCGACAGTTTGACTCACATTCAGACGGGACTCCTGGTGAGGCGTGGCCTGGAACCTCTTGCTTTGCTGCGAATGGAACGTCCTTCTAGAGCCAGCAGACGACGTGGTCGCTTTGGTGTGCTTGAGATGAGACAACATGGGACGAGACAACTCCTGAAAGTAAATGCGGTCGATGTCACCGGTGTTGGCAATGCCGGGAAAGACGAAGATGAGAGTGTAAAGGTGCGAGAAGGGGAAGGATGCTCAACAGACAGTAGCGCTTGACCCGCATGCAGATTGTCCCACGACACAAGTGGGGAAACAAGGGCATGGGTACCCGCCAGTCCATGAGGGGTGGTAGTTTTACACCCTTTGTACATGTATGTTCGGTGCTGATACGTGGCGGCCTTGCAATGGCTTACATGTGCCGGGCTGCTACTTGTTCTATCTGATATCTGTCAGGCTGGGTTTCCATGTGGTTGGCTTTCAGCTATCAGGCTTATATGCAATAACGCCAGCACATCTAGGCAAATACATGTACGCATGCTGGGGTTGAGGTCATTGCCTCAAGACGTGTAAGCCTAGACGATGCTGCATCGACGTGTTTGGGGCTTAGCGTGTTTGGGGCTTAACGTGGCTGAGCTACAATGAGGATCGTCGCGTTTGCGGCGTGGTTCCCATACCACGACTTCACTCGTTCACCAGGAACAACTTGCACACGTTGTTCCAAACAGTGCCCAATTCGCTCAAGTGCCCTGCCAGTTGACTCCGTCGCAAAGATTCAACTGATCTGGAAACTTGAAGCAATCGTAAGCGCTATTCATCCGTCACGCCGGTCTGTAGCCAGCAAATTTTCGTCCCAAGCCTGACGACGTCCCCTCAACTGGGCCGGGGTTTTCAACATCGTGAGATACTCACTTACAGCTATCTGCCAACAAGAACGACCTGGGCTCCACTTATCGACCTTCCCACGTCTCTAGTCTCCTGCACAATTGAACCCACAGTAACCCGTGGCCTAATGGTTTCATGATCTCATGACAAGTTGACAATGCACGGCGCCGACGGGCCCTGACCCGTGTCGTAGCTGCAACCCCAAAGCGTTCAAATGTCCATTCAATTTGACATGTAACACTCCACACTCCTGACGGCTTCACCTTGGCAGTATCCAACACCCGCCTAGGAGACTGCTCTCTAAGCAGCCGCTCACGGCGGTCGCTCGGTAAGGCTTCTGCAAGAATGCGACATGTCCAGTTGCCCACTGCGCAAAGCATTGTTGTCCTGAAATGAATGAGCACAGCGCCATCTCCCGGACGGCCGCTACCCTAGCTGTGCGGTGGGACCCAGGTGCGTACTGAGGCCGCCAGCTGCTGCTTCCTCCTCCTCACCACCACCATCATCATCGGAAGCGCATGCTGAGCTCCTCCTGTGAGATTGGAAATCAACATGTTGAGCTTAGGAAGGTTAAGGAGGAAGACTTCCTCCACAGAGCCAGAAAGACGTAGGCAAGGGACATTGACCTAGACAAGAGATACATCACGGGTTACGTTCGACGGCTCCTATGCTTGTTCCATGTGGAAACGTCTGTGACGCACTGGGCGATATTAGTCATGCAGCGCCCATACACTCCCACATTCCTATATCCTGGCACCTTCTCACCTCTACAGCGCCGCTAGGATACGCGAACCCATTGAAGCTCTCGTCGATGATGTCGCCCCCGTACGGCACATCTGATGCTTCCGGTTCGAAGTCAGGGTCGCGGCCGTACACGTCCGCAGGCATTTCTGCAACGCCGCGCGGAGAACCCGGACCGTAGATATCGCCGGAAACCGGCGACTGGAAGGTTACAGAGCGGCGGCGCCCACCGTTCCCGTTTGCCGGAGCAGGCTCCAGCAAGGCAGGGACAGGGCCCGCCGCATTCCGGGCGTGGTGCTGCGCGTGAGAAGCAGCATTGGCCTCTTGCAAGATTTTCTGGAGCTGCGTAGAGCGACGCTCCTCGGCGTGCTTCCTCTGCTGCTGTCGCTGTTAACAGAGGAAACACAGGGATTCTGGTTGTGAGTAGGAAGTGATATCCGAGTAGTCGGAGGGCCTACAACATGCAGCGACATTACAGACATGATTTTCCTGCCGATATGCATTGGCTGCTGGTGCGTTCCTTTGCCAATTATCTTGGGGGAAGTTTGCATGGATGGCACAGCGGCCGTGTCTCCAGGAGGCAAGCCCACGCCGCCCGGGCCAACCTGATCCCACCAGCTAGCAGCCCGCTTTCCTTCTACATACGGTTACTCGCTATGGTTAAGGTGCGTGACTGGAACAGGAGATCGCGGGAGCTTCAGCCCATCCTCATCCAGCATTTTGTTTGGAGGAGGACCCGCGTTGGCCATTTCATATGCCTAACGTGTGTGTTACGCAAGGAGGTTCAGCATGTGCTTGACTACTCTGAAAAGCTCGCGCGGGCCGACATAGGAGCACGCAAAATCCCCCACCTGAAGCTTCAGCGCAGCCAGTGCTTTCCGCTGCTGCTGCTCCCTATCTTGCTGCTCGTTGGCGAGTTGCGCGCGAGGGACCTGCGGCCGGGCATGGGGTCGCATGTGCATGCCGCGCGACGAACAGTGACCGCTGCCCCTTGTGCACCATATGTTCTTGTTTTGGGGAACAAGCACCTCCGTACGCAATGCCGGGGTTCTGAGGATACAACGCACGTAGATGAATGACAACGTGCGTGAGCCCGAACTGGCTAGAGTAGCAACTGCTCGCATCGCAGTAGCCGCACACCTGCCAGGGTAGGACACGCGTCTCAAAGCTGAAGGGCCGCGGGACGGTGATGCCGGCACAGGGCCCGGGTGACTTGGGCTGCAGATGCCAGACCTGGGCCTTTCGCGCCTCATCCGCCTCGCGTTTCTTCCGGGCGAGTTCCTGCGGAAATCGTCGCAGAACGTGTCGAACAACGATATAAACGTGTTACTCAAGGATGGGCCACCAGCTGTCGCAGCAGCTACCCAATGGGGAACTTGTGTACAACATTGTCTGAGGCAGGGGTGACAAGGTAGACCAAAAATCGTCCCAGCTGAGCTCAGTCAGTCGACGCGCAGGGCCATGGAATCCCCTAAACAGCTGTAAATGCCTCTGCCGGCCTCAGCCTCCATTTCGCCCGGCCTGCCATTATCCCTAAGGAATGGCAACCGGCCAAGTAATTGTTTTCAACAGCCTACTAAAGCTGGGTTATGCTTCAATAGGTAAGGCAGGCAGGAACGTATCAAAGACGGCTTGACGAACCCCAGGGCTTCATCTTCCTGATGAGTGTACACCCACTCACCCTAAGCTCCATGTGCCGCCCCAGGCCGGGCACGGCAATTGGGCCTGTTGGCTTGGGCACTGTGCGGTTGATGGCAGGCGTGAAGGTGCACTCCTTCAGCTCCTCATACTCCCGCAACGCCCGGGCTTCCTGAAGGCGCGGACACCAACCGGGAAGTGCTGGCTTACTCAAGCGGAGCGGAGCACATGGCAACGGGCTGTGCACAAAATGTGGCAGGTGGCATCCGTATGCGCGTCCAGACGTCAGGAAAGGGTTGGCGAGAACCTGGTCCGTGCTACCGGATGGCGACTCAACCGGGTCTAGAAAGGCCGACAGTAAAGGTTGAGGCAGGTTCGGCTTAATTCACGGCAACGATTTCATCTTCACCTTCACATCCAAGCACAAGCTAAAAAAAAGGTAAAAGCCATCGTTAATGAGGAGCAGCGGCTTGGTGTGCACCACAGCCTTGATTGCTAGGGCCAGTAGTCCCCGGCCCTACCGTCAGGATGCTACTCCGCAGCTTATTGGCCTGCTCGTGGCCGTCCACCGATGCCAGCACCAGGCTTCCCCGCCGCTGCCGCCCCAGTGACGCGCTCCGTGGGTTGATGGCTGGGCGGAAAGTGCACTCGGCCGAACGTTCCACCTCAGCGGCCGCTGCTAGGCGTTCCAGCTTAGCTTGCCGCTCCTCGTTCCGATACAAATCAGTTAACGAGTGCCGCTGCGAAGAGGGAAAAGGCCAAGGCAGGCCAGGCACAGCGATTGACAACCTCTACATTGTTTATGTGGACTATAATAATTTAGTCCACAGCGATTAAAAGCGGGGCAGGTCCTGCAACCCGCAACTGCGCCCATACGACGATCAAGTCCAGTACTTCAAATGCGCACATACCCAGTCCCGCAACTGTACACAGATGCTGGGGCAGCGGAAAGAGATTTCTCTCCCGCGGCGTTCCCTCCCATGTCCCATGGCGCGCGCCAAATCGTGCCTAACGAACCCCAGATGCCGTAGGAAAGGTCATGCAGCCATCACGCCACGCCCACACACCGTCCCGTGCACCCTGCACAGCGTACCCTGCCAATTTTGCGGGACCGCTCGTTGATTTTTGGCGTGAAGGTATATTGTCCATAATGGTGTTGTTCCAGTGCGCCCCGTAGTGCCGCGCTGCGCTGCACGTCCTGGTATGCCAGTTTGGACAGCCTGTCGCCGTCGCCGACGGAGCCGGACCAGCACGGAACAGAGCCTCCACGTGGGGTGGTCCCCAGGCCGCAGCTGGAGGAAACGCTGAGGGTGGCCGATGCGGACGGAACCACAGCAAGCCACGTTTGCAAGGATTCCAGGGGTGGAGGCGCAAGAGGCAAAGGTGTTAGGAGCGTGCAAGCGACGCCGTGGAACAGGTCATGTGACATGACGGCCAGAGTAAGCCCAGGGGCCAGGTCACCCAGGCGCACAAAAGGACTGAATATGCCTACGAGTAGGGATTTAGGGGACCGGCCCTGGGAGTTGCAGCAGGGACGAAGAACATGACAAAAGCATGCACCTCATGCTGCGGGAGTCTGCCTCCCAGCGGTCCGCGCGCTGCGGTAATCACGACCGCCAGCCGACTCTACGTTACACATCGTGCCTGCCCCACAAGCAGCCAGTACCAACTTGGTGGTGCATGACAATCCACTATCCAAGTTGCGCCATGGACGTGTGTTCCCTCACTCTGTCGCTGGCTCACCTGCCGGCCCGTGATAGCAGTTGGGGTTGGAATGTGCATGTGGATTCCTCCAGGAGACTCCGGTACAGCGCGCGCTTCTCGTGACCCAGGGCTGCAAGATAGGCCTGTGGTGAAGAGGAGATGCAACGTTGCTACATATCTGCTGGGTTCCGTCATGAAATATGAATATGCCAAGCAGCTCCCCAGCAGGTTTTCGTCAGCACCAAATTTGTGACTCGTGAAAGGGCTGCTGGAGCCAGGTCAAGCAAAGGAAACCGCCTCACATAAAGCAATAGGCACCCAAATCGTTTCATTCCGTTCACAGCGAGGAGTGATTCCACGCACTAAGATGAAGCGGACACCGCCCTGCCAAACTGAACCACATTTGGTACCACCCACCCTCCCGCACAATTACCACGAGAGGTCCTTATCATGACGACCAATCGCGCAACACAAGCTCCTCCGCGATACAAAACCAGGTTCAGCAGCTTGCACCAGGTTCATTTGGATACGCCTGGATACGCCAGGTTTGCCAATCACATCCCCCTTCTTTTCCGACAAAGAAAGCCAATCGCACCTGCCGCGCCAGGAAGTCCTGTGGGAGGTCGGAGCTCTCAGCCAGCGCACGGCTTCGCGGGTTGATGGACGGTACACCCAGCGGTTGCTTCTGCAGGAAGGGGTTTCGCTGGTCCCGGGAGGTGCTCACGTCCCGCATGACTGACCCCTGCTCATCGCCCGCTTCACGACGCCTGACGAGAAGGACGCATTCAGGACGCGCTTAGGTATTGTGAGTAATGCGATCAGGACCACGAAGCGCTCAAGTCTCAACATTGCAAAATTCAGGCCATTTAAGCTATGGACGTCCCAACCATCCCATCCGGGCAGTTCCCTGTTCCACTGCAATTGTTCACAAGCCTTACAGGAGGCGCCAGGTATGTCGCGAGCGGCTACGCTCTGGAAAGCCGATCGGAATAGATACGGCGACGGCCAGCGACGAACCGGGTTCGGATGTTTTACCTATTCATGGCCACAGTGCCTACTGATGGTAAACCAAGGGGATAGCAACTGGATAAAATCCAAGCTATACTATCCAGGCTCTCGTGCATTTTGCCTGATGGACTTGGGCACACAAGCTTAGCTTTTGCCCATGGATCCTACAACAGGCAAGGGCTGTCCTAAGGAGTCAAAACCCAATGCAATCCACCTTACTCCCCGCAGCCGCTCCCCCTTCTCTAGTCTTTCAATCAAGAGCATGACGCATTACATACTTCGACGCCTCAAATGCACCCCGTCCACCCCACCCCGCTTTGCCCTCTTCACATTATGGTGATTTTTCCATTACAAACAAGAGCCCACATCGTCTACATTGACCATGCCGCAGCACTTTTCATTTCTACACTGCGTGACCGGCAGCATCGCCGTCATTCTCCACTAGTGAGCCACAGGTTCATTTGTTTAACACAGCATGGGGCACAGCATGGGATGCTGTGCATATGGACGCACCTTGCGGCTGCCTCCTGCGCCAAGCGGTACAGCCGCTCACTGGCGGGCAGCGCCGCCACCTCCGCGGGCTGTTGCCGCTGCCGCTCCGCCGCCAGCTGTGCGGACCGGCGGTTGACCTCCGGCTGGAAGGTCACCGAGCCGCCGCCTAGCTCCTGTCAGGAGTTATCAAGTTGGATCAGTGCAGGCCGATCAGGTCGTTGTCGGCCACACAAGGAAAGCGGCGCACATGCGAAAGCTTTTGAAGCAGCGAGCCCACATCTCGCTGCCTAGGAATGGTGAGTTTTAAAAAAGACCCTGCCCACGCCAATTGCAAGACGGATGCACTTTACAAGTACACTTAGGATGGCACCCACCTGCTCAATAACACGTGTCCTAGGCTCGCTAGGTTTTCGGCACATTCCCTGCTTGTCACATTTTAGGAAAAACGTACCCGGTGCTATTTTGGGGTGGAGGTCTACAACCCTCGTAGTTGGAATTGTGGACAACAACGAGGGACAGCCCTGTACTGAGGCTCACCATCTGTATCTGCGCTTTCGCCAGCTTTTCATTTCGACTTCGCAGGAGGTCAGCAACGCGCTGATGGATGGGCACGTACGGCGTCAATCCCCCGCTGGCCGCCGCCGCGCTCGCGGGCCTGCGCCGCGCCGCGCTGATGGACCTGCAGGCATCGTCCGGGATTTGCCTACAGGTTGAGACGGGTGGGAGCGAAACGGACCTTGAGGATTGCTTTGCTATCGGAGCAAGCGCCCTGCTCGCCTTCCAGATTCTTCCCTGCTGTACGCAAAAGCACGTGCAAACCTTGCAGATATCATCATACACCGCACGCCCGCGGCCTGGAGGTGGGTAAGTAAAGAGGGCCCTAGAGGAGGGAAAACCGCCTGTTAGCCGTCATGGATGCCAATTGCCCCGAATGGAAACCGAACCCCTTTCAACCCGGCGCTGTCCCGGAGCTGTTACCCGGAGCATATACCCTGGAATACAAGGGACGGCCTCGTTCCCGGTAATCACGGTTACCATTCCTCAGTCCTCAAGTCTGACACGCACCTAGAGCCACATTGTGGCTGGAAGGTGCAGCTGGCCAGCACTGCCTGCTCCCGCTCACGTAGGATTTCCTCCCTGCAGAGCCGATCGGGCAACCGTCCAACTTAAGAGCATAACCAACTGTTAACACCCAAATTGCAACGCAGCGAGACCCCGTGCGCCGTGACATACATACAAGTGACATCCAGGAAAACGACGAAAGCCGTTTCAGCCACATGGGGGAGCAGGGACGAGGAAGTAACGTAACGTGGTGAAAACACCACCCGGGCAAAGTCGTGCTGGTGATTTGACACGGGATGATAGAATAGTGTGTGTGTGTGTGCTAATCAGTTTGGAGCTGTTCGGCTCATTGAGGCGCTGTCTTTGCTCACCTTTTGAGCTGCCACGCGGGCTTGGTGCCGTACAGCCTGTCGTGCACCGTCTGGTCAGCACGGACGCGCTGGGCGCTGGGCGGCCGTCCGGTCTGCGGCTGAAACGTGCAGTCCCGCAGCTCCTCCTCCTCCTTTTCTTGCCGCAGCTGCATGGGCGGCGTGTGACGGCCAGTGACGGCGAGCAGGGCATTACAACATCGTTGCACAGCTCTTCAAACCAAATTGATGGATTCGCCATTGACGGGGAAAGGCAGGGGCACCCGCAGGCTGCAGGAGCGGCCGCACCATGGCGCACCATGTCCGCGGGTCCATACCTTTCAGCGGGCCCCGGCCAAGCTCACCTGCTGGCACCGCTTCTCCACGCGCTCATTGCGGGGCTTACAAAGCTGCTCCAGGCGAGTTTCCCTGAGGTGGTCCAACAGAACGGAGGTATTCGTTGGTGAGACTTCCGTAAGGGGCTTGGTAACGTACTGTCTCTCTCTCTCTCTCTCTCTCTCTCTCTCTCTCTCTCTCTCTGTGTGTGTGTTTCACACCTCGGTTGTGTTACCCAGAGAGGTGTAACGAGTGCCCATACAAGCCCTAGGCCCAAGAGAGACCCAAGCGCCTAGAGCCACAAGTTAGATATTGGACGTAATATAACGCGAAAAGTCCTAGTCAACTGAGTAATGGCGACAGGAAAGTAAAATTTTCAGCACATTTCCTTCGGCTTTGGGTAACATTTGCTAGGAAAGGTGTGGACTACCCCTCAAAGGAAGTCCACAGATGTTTTGGCGTGTTCAGCGCTCTGTGCATTCGGAGGGCATTTGTGGGCTAGCGCTTTCGGCAACAAGCAATGACCCCCGCGAACACCAGAGGAATTCATGCGGGGGTTGCCCCACCGCCCGTATCGCACATTCCGTCCCAGAAAACACCTTATTTGTACTGCTTTATCCACCTGGCCTGTCACAAGGGGAGGATACCCGCAAGCGTGCCCAACACCGAGCCCACAACACCCGAACGCATCATCCGCCTGGAACCCAGTAACTGGTCGGACCGTCATCCGAAAGAGGCTGTGCACAGCAAAGTCATGGCTGTCCCGAGGGCTACAACCGCCGGAGGTGAATGTTGACCCATTTTAGGCGACCCGACAACTCCCCCTCTCCTCCATCCGCTTGCCTGTCGACCGGAAGCAGCCGCTCCGCTATTTCCCGGCTGCGTGGGTTCATCCGCGGCTGGAACAGGAATCCCTCATTGGGGTCGGGGGACTGGCCCGGTGAGTTGCGGGTTGCCGCTGACTTGAGTGGTTGGGCGTAGTGGGGTGTCACCTGGGACTGCGATGGCCTGCGCGGTCAGCAGCAAGAGAACGATCGCATGGGCCAGGACTACAACGCAGGACTAAATCCAGTGTTACACACGATCATTCAAGGGTAAGGACAGGGTAGGAAAATGGACGCCAGGACTGCCAGGAGTGCAGCCTTCCCTTCCGTCCTTCACGCACAGGACAAAAACGCTCACCTGGGTTGCTCCCCGTGAAAGCGCGCGGTTGGAGTGACGGACCGGCGAGGGATGGCGACGCCCGCCTCCGCCGTTCGGGATGTGTGGGCGCGACGAGTGGGCTGCGCCTGCGATTGCTTGGAGCCATGCTGTGCCAGCAAGGAGGGCTGTTGCTGCTGCTGATGCGCCTGCCGTCGGGGGATTTCCAATGAGCCTCGAGCGCCATGGTGCGCAACTGGGCCAATTAGCGATTGATGCATCAGCTTTTGCGTCTGTTGCTGCTGCTGCTGTCTCCCGTGTCGGGGAGAGTGCAGCCGCGCCTGGGCGCTCCCCGGTCTGGATCCTTTATGCCACTCTCGGACGGTCAGGTTCGCTGCTTGTGGTTCGCGCGCACTAGAATATGATGACTCTTGGGAAACGGATGTCTGATCTCTATGCATACCCGAGTACGAGTTGACTTCGTGTCCCTCTGCAATGCAACGCATATGGCGGACGGCAGCGTTGGTAACGAAGTCAACTTCCACTGGCCAGCATGCCCCCTGGTAAATGCATCAGCCAAGTGATCCTTGTCAAGTGCAAACCAGAACTTGCGGACTGCCCCAGGCTACGGCTGGCCTTGGCCACGGCCGCAATCGTAGGCGGACATATACCCCAAAGTGGGTCCCTCGCGGAAAATGAACCCTCAACCAACCAACTAATACAGAGCTCCCATCCCCACCGGCTCGCACCCAAGTAGCCCTACGGCGTACCGCGGGAGATGCCGCCGATGGACGGAGATGCCGGCCGCTGCGAGGCACTCTGCATCGAACCGCTGGGCTGAGACTCAACCGCCCAAATGTCCGAGATGTCAAAGGGGCCATCCGCATGTGCCATGCCGAACACCATGTCCTTCGACGTGGGCACGCGCATTTCCTCAATGTTGAATTGCTTTATGGTTTGGTTCAACTGTTGCTCCAGCTCTGAAAGCGTGTGTCCGCCTTCGGAACTGACGTCATCAAACCCCATGCCCGCCTCGTTGTCGCGCGATGGTTCGTGTGCTTCCATGCCCTCAACGTCCGAGGGGTACTCCACCTCATACGCTAGCGAGGTCTGGCGTTGTTCCATGTAAGGCCCGTCAACCACCGACGAAATCACATCATAATTGCCATTAGCTTCATCCCCGTCTAGGTCTCCTGATGGGACCATAAAGGGAGGCTGCTCCTGCTGCTGCCAGGAGCCCTGCGCATAGGCGCTGCTGGCATCGCTTCCGTGACGATGGTGCCGGACAGGGGAGGCTTGCTCTCCTGCTGCACCGGATACACCGCCATCTGAAGCATATGGCGGCCGATCAAAGGCAAAACTCTCATCGCTGTCGGGCGATGAGAATGGTCGGCCACGCCGTTCCCGCTGCGCCGTAGCAGAGGCCGCTGAAAGTGGCACACGCCGGGGCCGCCGAGGGTTAAGGAGGGTTAGGTTGTGACAAGGTGCGGCTGCCGGAGCAATCTAAAGAAGCGTACGCTGTGCATGCATCACGAGCCTGAACTTTAGGATACTTGCCTTCGTTATTCTCCAGTGGAGCCCGCCCCGATGATTGCGCCTGAGCTCGTGCCCTCCGCTCTTCGAGTAACCGCTGGACACGCTCATACGTAGGCCCTCTGCCAGCTAATTCAGGATTAAATCCGATTGAAGAGGTGACTGAACGGCGCTGGCCGGCAGGGCCCTGTAGCCGGTCCGTCATTTGCGGTTCTATACCTCCAAGCTTCGGTTCGGGGGAACCCGAACCTAGCATATCCTAGGAGCCTACATGGGATGCGCTGCATATCCGAAAGTGAAGCATACTGGAACAGCTGTCGACGGGGTGTCAAATTTCAGTTGAAGCTTAGCAGCACCATGCGCAAGAATAGAAGCATAGGGCCCCAGCTCGCTTCTAGCCTATTAATGAATAGACTGGAATAAAATGATTAGGCAGATGACCGAACGCCGTGCGTAGTGGTCAACGCGTTGACCTTGAAATACAGTAACGCTCCGTAAAATTAATACAGAAGGCCTGTAGTCAACAACGTTTTACGGTCCGAAGATAATGTTGCGCCCGAGTGCAAATTTCCATGCCAACCAGCTTTAGAGTCTTTGGTGTTGATGGGCGCAGGATATATAAACGCTATAACGCTATAACGACCCACTGCAATCGGACATGTTGAGGAGGCGTTCAGGATGTTCGTGTACGAGGGACTCATATACCTTTCTCTTATGAGGATTTCGGCCCCACTGCTGATGCGTGGAAAGAGCCGCACAGCCGCAAAGCATTGTGAATATTTAGGTCCATGGTTGATATGGCTCGGCGAAGGGTCGGCAAAATGACATCTTGACATCTCTAGCAGCCGCTTTTGGGGGCTGGCGCATCTGACGAATGAGGGCAGATGGTCAGTGGCATCTTACCAGCTCCGTTCATTCCCTCGATAACCAACCCCTTTCCGCGCTGCACACGTACGGAGTATGTGTTCGAGACAGACCCAAGGGCCAACGAACTTCATCAGCTGTGGCTTCTCAAAAGCGCAAACTTCCCATACCTCTGTCTAGTGATATGGACTATGCTCCTTAGGTGATCTGCCTTCCAGGAAAATAGCCACCAAATCAGATCGAGAGGCGACCGCCCCTCAGCCGAACCGGACGCCTTGGAGCACAGCAAGCACCGAAAGCTGGCGCTTAAGTACCGAAACTCCTCTCTGGCATCTCAGAACTGTATTATGTGCGCAGCGGCCCCCTTCCGCCGTTTTAGAAGCGCACGGCATGCCTTTACCTTCACCAGTCCCTAACCCAACAATCAGATTACGGGTTTCCCCTGGGACCCTAAGTACGCCTTGGCGACCACTTTGCAACCTGCCATACAACACTCCCGACGTCTGTATCCCAACACCCTCCCCGTTTGGACTGCGGATGAGGTAGCACAATATGCTCCATTAAATGGATGGCCTGCCGTCCTTTATCATTTTTTTACATCGTCATACGTGTTGTTCTATGTACTGTACTGCGATATGTGTTGCTCTTTACCTGCGCAAGCGTTGCCCGGAGGAGGCGGAATGACAACTGAGGTGTCTGAAACTGCCAAGAGAGCGCCGGGCGCTAGCGGCGTGCCAATAAACACCGAAGACATAAAACTCCGCAGGGACCATGCACCCCGTCCGGCTAGTATGGGTGCAACACCCTTAATGACCTTGTCGACTGTCCCACGTAACTCCGTTTTGTAGGATTCGCGCGAGGGCGCTCACGTTTTCGGAGCCCCCGGCATTGGGCTCATATCGGCACGCACAGGATTCTCCTCGTAGGATGAAATGGCTTGAGGAGGAGGAGGAGGAGCAACGTCGCATTGAAGAAATCCCAAATAAATCAAAGCACTGGTAGAGACGCCGTGGTGGAACTCGTTCATCATACCTTGTCCTCACTCCGCAAAATGAGCAGTCGTGTTCGTCTACACGTGACACTGTTAACATAAATGTTGCTTGCGCCAGAGAGGCGACTAAAACGCATTCTTGGGAGTTGCAGCCTCCACACAGCTCCCACTACCCACGACGTCCCTAATGTCGTGAACCAATGCCAGTGTGCAGTGTACCACCACACCATCCCAGGGATAACTAGCAAAACCCGAATGATGCACGCGATTGCAAGCTGGAACCAGGCAACCATACCGGACAGCACAGCACACGCAAGTAAAGGGTGAGGGACCGCCGGTGTACCTGCGCAGGGCCACAGCCAGCCAAGGAAATGCATCAACCCCTACTCACCGCCTTTCCAAGTCACAACTGAGCCTCCCGGCAAGGCAGCTGAGACACGCCTCATTCCTCAATCCACAGAGTAACGTTAGAAAGCTGGGGGAAGATCACTCGTCAGTGACCTGGCAAACGTCGTGTGATGCCGCGACGTTCGACCTGGAATACTGGGAAGCCCCCCAGTCGCTAGACCAACTAAATCATCAAGACTATGCGAAACGTGAAGTCGTTCCTGTCAGACCCCCCTGGCCGGCGCTCCGTAAATACAAAGACACAGCTGCAGCTGCAGACCGTGCACCTACGACAGGCTTGCATCGTTCAAGTAACACCTACCATACAACAGTTGCAGTTTTCGTGCGCATAACTATGCGTTGTACTTATTCGTGATGTATCAAGTTTGTCGCAGTATAATCACGCGCAAGTCCGCTTCGCCCGCGCCGGCCCGCCCGTCCGCACGCCCTATGCCATCCGCCGCATTGCTTGGCACATAATGTATGTTCGGTTCATTCGCGCGCGGCCGTAAGCCAACCACCTCATAAGCATTTCCACCATGCAGCTGTACGTCCGAAAACTTCATCCGTTGTATCAAAGAATAGCGTTTTGAAAGCCGGAACACGCGCAATATATGAGACGTGGCACCACTCTTCACCGGCCCTAAGCCACCCAGTTCCGAGGCAACTCAAGACTGGCCATCCTTCAACTCACCGGGGCAGGGCCCGTGTCCCGAGCCCCAGCGACACACCCTCAGCCTCTTCATACCGGACCGCTCCAGCAGTAAATAATAACCAGCAGTAAATAGAGCCCTTTAAGGATTATTGCTTTGTACGTAGGCACTTGTCCATTTAATCTTTGCACATCACTCCAAAATTAGACACGTCCCGTAACCATTTCCGCCCCTTTGGCCGCCTAAGCTTTTAAGGCAGCTCGTCCGCGATGACCTTCATCGGCGGCTGATCGGTCTGCGAATACTTACGTCTTAGGCCCCAAACGATCCGGCGTTGCAGCCTGCTGGAGATTTCTGTTGGACAGATGCATCTTCAGGATCAGTCGCCGCTCCGCATCTGGATCGCTGAAAGTGCGCTGGCGAGCCTTATCCACGTGTGGATCGTTTCCAGGGAGTTCGGCCTGGTAACACGAATTACACACCAGGAAAATAATACGATCATTATTATTATGCGCAATAGAAAAGGCGCTCAGATTGCTGCGTTTTAAAAACAGCACCACGCGCACTCTGTTACGGGAGCTATTGGACCATCATCCCATAATGATAACAACAACAACAACAACAACAACAATAATAATAATAATAATAATAATAATAATAGTAGTACCCCCAGGGCTGAGCTGTGGCGTTTGTTAACGAGGCCTGGGGTGGTGGGGTCAAGGGTTTTCACCGACCCATGCACCGTCCGCCACCGCTAGCATCCATGTCGTCCCCAGCTGCCAGGGTAACTATCGCCCCACCTATGCGTCGATAGCTGGGAAGTATGGCAACACAAGGCAGTACAGGCGAGCTCGGGCTACACACACACCGTGGTGCACGCCGCACCGCCATCCTATCCCGCCACCGCGACCTTCCCCCGGCCTCCGTACCGGCTGCACGTCATCTGTGATGTAGTATGCGCCGCAGAGACGAAGCGCGAAGTAGCGTTCAAAAGTGCGCGCCACAGCGGCGATGTTGAGTAGCTGGTTTCGGAATGCCGGCCAGGTGAGATGTACGTGGCGATCGCGCGCCTTAATGGCCTGCATTCAAGGACCCAGGGGTCGGCGGCGTCGGTGGCGCTGGAAGGCTTGAGGAATCCGACGAGCGGGCAGCACGCAGGTCGTGAACGAAACAGTGGAGGGCTTACACGCTTGCACCCATTGCGCGTTGAATCTTAATCAGCCTCCTCACTGTACCTAGCTGTGGCATGGTGTTGGTGCCGATTAGGTCCGTAAGTGACCATGTTAGGAGGCGGCTGATGTAGGGGTGAAAGGGAATAACCCGCCTCCTACTCTGGCCATGTCGCCCACAATGTGTCTTTAGGCTTTAGGGGTTATTTCCGTTCGTGCCTCCGAGAGATGATGTACATCATGGAAAGCAGCTCCAAGAAATGCTGATACGTGGAGATACTGGTCCAAAGCCACACCCAACAAGTTCAGGCGCAGCCGAACTTCTTGACCCCTGAAAGGGTGGCGCAAATCGTCACATCGCCTACATCGCCCCTACTACTGACCCCTACCACTGACTTCCCCCGCGTCTTCACCCTCCCCCGCCCGCTCAATCCCCCCTCCGCTGGACACATGTCACGCGCTCGCACCAACCCCAACCCTGCAGCCGTCCTGCCGCCGTCCTGTTACCTCCAGAAACGCTAGTTAAAAGAGGGCGCGAGGACAACGGCACACCAGGAGGACAACGCCGGAGGAGGTCGAGCCGGGCGGGTAATCCATCCACCCACCCACCCGAAATTTGGAATAGTGCAGCTTGTCCTCCTTCTCGAAGATTCCTGGCTCCGACAGCGACGCGTTGAAAGTGTCGATGCCGTACCAAAACACGTTCCATGGCATCTCCCGCAGGCTGCTGGTCTTAAACCGCGCGTAGCGGTTGGCCCAGGACTCCCTTCCGCTGAAGCCAAAGGGCCGCACCTCGATCACCGATCCGCCGGGCTTCATGTAAAACGAGTTGGTCAGACCAGCGCCGTGCATCCCCAGGATGACGTCTACCTGTCTCGAGGCAGCGGTATTTCCGACAAGGGGCGGGTGGGGGTGTGCGCTTTCCATTCCGCAGCAACAAGAGTGGTCGGCAGCGGCGGCGTTGCATGCTACTATATAGCTCATGCCTCCTATTACTTTTATGACTTCCATGGCTTTGGTGACTTTCGTGACTTCTGCGACTCATACATCCCCTATATTTTAAGCACCCCGACGAGCAGCTGCTGGCGGTTCTGCAGGGCTTAGCTTCCGGTACTGGGAGCGGGACGGCCGTACTGGGCGCGCTGCGCAGTGGTCAGGTACAAAGGGCGCTGAGCGGAATTTGACCAGCTCCGCCCCAGACCTGATGCGGCGCTTCGCTTCACACACTGCCTTCTTCACAGGTTGGGAGCTACCAAGTCGGGACTGGGGCGCCGCCTCTCGCCCCCCCCTTCCGATGACCAACCTATCCACTCCCCACCACACAGACACAGGGCACCCAACCTCCGATACCCACCCACTCACTTGCCGCATCAGCCACACGTCCATCAGCTGGTTGTCGCCAAACACGTGCGCAAAGCAAAAGTACTTTTGGTACGGCACGTTCCAGTCGGCCTGCGGCACGTCAGCTCCCTCGGCGTTGTTGCAGCGCTGGATGATCTCGGCCTCATTCAGGATGGTGCGCCCCACCGCGGACTGATGTGGTGTGCGACTGATGAAGACGATCTTCAAAATGGAAGGATCATCCGGAATACGAACCTACGCAAAACAGGACGGAAAAAGGTATACCGCACCAAGACCTGAGCGAGACAATGCGACATATTCCCAGACCGCCGTCCGCAGCTAAGGACCCGTCAGCGCATAGAGCAGGCATAGTTGAGCGCCACCCGGCTTCGGAAGCATTTTCCAGGGGTGTGCCAGGAGGCGCTGGTAGCCTGTGTTGAAGTGCAGTGAACCCGACGTAGAAGTGCACGCTCAAGAGCACGCCGAGGTTTAGTGCAAGCTGCATCCGCACATCCACTCAATCTAACTTGAAATGCGGACGGCGGCTTTTGTTAGGTGGCCATGCATGCATGCATGCATGTATGCGCACGTATGTAATGGCATGTAGAGGGTGAGGCAGAGGGTCCCAGCGTGTGCGTGTCAAGGAAAAACTTCTCACATCCTCCACCGTCTCTTCCCTCGAAATGCGTCCTAGCCAGCCAGCCAGCCAGCCAGCCAGCCAGCCAGCCAGCCAACCATGCGCATCGCACCTGCTGCAACTCGAACAGGCGCTGCTCAAACGAAGCTGCCTGCGCCAAGTAATGCGGCATGTAGTGCCTGCGAAGGTGATACAGGACACGAAGATTACCCAGCAAGGGCCGCAAGGTTGTGAAGTTACGTGCTAACGGGCACATATTTACACAATGCGCAGACGGTCAGACGCGACCAGGCGTTGCATGTGACCCTTCATGTATGTGTTTAAGCGAATGAGCTGGGCAGTTGGGCTGACGTCGCAAACCCCAGGAAAGCCTTCACTGCTCCCCGTGACTTCGGAGCCTTGCATATTCAAACCTCGGTCCCCAGCCCCACCCACCTGACGACGTACTGGCCGGCGTTGTAGAACCGCAAGCCGTACCCGTCGTACCGAATACGACACCCTACGATTTGCTCGAAGCAGCGCACGTGGGTGCCCTCCCAGGTTGTGTTTGGCGGTGTGTCCGTCGGCCGGCGGGAAGATAGCTCTGAAAGCGAGACAACGCCGCGATCTGACAGCGAGTTGTACCTGTCGTACAAGCCGTACAAGTTACTCCATGTTCCGAAGTGCCGTGCATGTGTCGTACAGGTAACGTATGAGTGGCATGGCTGGGGCCGGGTAGCAAAGCACGTCGCTGGCGCAGCAGCTCAGCAGAACGTCAGAGCCAGGGCTTCAGGCCGCTCTCCCCGTGCCGGAGAGCGTGGGGGTGGAGCTGAGGTACGACAACACGACACGAGACTGGTACATACACAGCCTGACTGGCACGTACACATACACGGCAAAGAGCACAAGGCGCAGGCCACAGGCCGCATGTGCACATGCCACGAAAGAACAGTCACTTGAACCAACAACACCCCCAAGGCCTGAAACAAAACCCGAACTACCCCTCGCGCAGCAACAGCTTGTGGCGCTGTCAAATCGGCTTTTAGGCAGGTGAGCACCTCCCCAGCATATCGTGCCTTACCAAAACTTGGTGTACGAAGGCACTTTGCTGCCCGGCGGCACCCCGGGAACCAAAGTCACGTAGCGGTTGAAGAAACCCGCCTGCAGTGGCCGTGCATCCACACATTCCATCCTAGGTTAGTCGAGTTTAGTAGTCCACGAACAGCCAATCCAAAGCCATGTGGTGGTGGTGGTGGTGGTGATGATGAGCAGCCCGGCAGATAGCCCAGCACATATATGGGTGTTTGATTGAGCTTCACATGCCTTCTGGATCTGGATTTGCGTAACTACCCCGCCCCACCCTTTTCATAAGAAAGGGATGTAACTGGAATCCAGCTCTTCGTACACGAGCCATGGGGGAACGGAGTCCTAGGGCGCCAGATCAAAGGAAAGGGCATCCGACATGAACTGCATCGGCTCAGGGGGGTGCACAGCAGAGGGCTGTGGGGGCCTTATTGCCTCGCCTTGTAGCCAGCCCGATGATGCCGTTCCCAGCTCACTTTCCGACGTCAAGTAGGCGCACATTCACCGCCAAGGGCCCCCCGCCCTCCTCCCTCTACAACACCCCAGCAGCTCGCTTCTCGTCTATCTCGGGCCGTCGTGAAACCGCCGACCGTGTGCCCGGCGCCGGGGCATGACTGCGACTTATGCCGCTCTCCTGCCCGATCCGGCCACCCACACGACACTGACAGCATCCCCCTAAGGACCCCCGGTTGATTTTTTTCCTGCCTATCATCCTCTTAATTCATTTTCCCCTCCACCCATCCTTCACGCACCTCCTGCAGCGTCACCAGCTTCTCAAAGATGTAGCGATACGTCTCAGCGGCGTTGTAGGGGTAGTGCGCGTACAGCAGCATCGGCAGAGTGCAGTTGGAGAAGGAAGGTTTCTGTAGCGGGGCAGCAGAAAGCGAGGGGGGGACGAGCACAAGGTGCGTGGAAGGGGAAGGCCATGTGGGGGCAAGCATGCGTGGATTGCGTGCGGGGTGGCGGGGGGCGCAAAGGCTGCGGGTGTGGATGCGACACAGTCCGCGAGGTAAAGCGCGAAAAGGTTGCGAGCGAGGCTGCAAAGGCTGCAATTGAAAGTCCGAGACAAGAACGCGTCCCCATTCAGGAAGATGGGCCCACCCTTTCCCGCACGGCAGTTTGGCAATACGTATCAGGTCTTCAGGTTTTTGAGGTGGTGTAAAATTCGACAGTTCCTTTCAGCACAGGAAAAGTGGTCCTTGGCAGTGCAGGGGGGTACTTGTGCCGCGTCTAGCAGTTCCACGCAAAGGACCCACCCCCGCAGACACCCAGCTCTCGGCGCTAATGGTCCCAGCGCTCCCTAGGCCCCACAGCAACACCCTCCGTTGGGCCCCGTCACCGCCTTCCCTGCCTCTCCTGGCCCCCCCCTTACCCGCCCCCGACACCCGTCCAAGAACGAGGGCAGCGCGACCCGCAACTTGATGGCTACCTCAACCTCACGACGAATATGGAAGCAAGACAAGGTCACTCCACTCCCAGTGCTGCTGACGCCCCTCCTCCTCCTCCTCCTAGCTCCTCCTCCTGCCACCCCCGGCCCCCACGTCCTATCGCAGACCCCCATCTCACCCTGAGCTCCTCCTCCTCTTCCATGTCGTTACTCGGCCGGACGTACAGCGCCGGGAACCGTAGCGCTGAGCCCTTGCGGTACCGGTCTCCAATGCCGTACCTGTACGAGTACAGAGCGCGGGGGGGGTCCAGCCACAGCAGTCAACCACCGGCGCGTTGGCTAGCTCTAGCTGTGAGTGGGGGAGGCTCCGTGTATTGCGTGTCATTTAGGAAAGGTCAGTATAAGTCTGGTGACGCGACGGGCGGACAGCAGTATTCGGCAGGGATGTCGCGGCGTGGAATAGCCTTCCCCCTGTCAGCCTGAGCAATGTGGATGATGACCGCAAGACGGAGCGGCGCTGAGCAAAGTAACGACGGTTTCCCCCGGCTCCTCCAGGATGGCCCATCCCACTTTCCGTCAGTCATGTAAAAACCTGTAGCTCTCTCCCCCTAGTGCTGATGGACGGCAAAAGACCTTGTGTCAACTCCACGCGGGGATAGGACTGGTGGAGAGTGGTACTAGGGGGCAATAGCGGGGGCCAGCACACATGCCGTGTTGAGATATCCCATGCACTCCGCATGGAGGAGCGCAAGGCCCAAGCTCCCAATAGTTTCCCAAGCACCAGTCCGAACCCTCAGGACTTCCCCCACACACACACACAGACACACCGATCAGACCGGAAGTGTAACCGAGGCGTCATCGATCACCAGTGTGACAATCACGGCAGTGCGAACCGAGTACGAACCGGGTACGAACCAGCCTACCTGGAGGGTATGTTGTACATGATTTCCGTCACGTTGAGCGTAGGCAACGTGCCCATAGAGGTGGTGGGGTGTACTTCAGGATCGTACGACACGATGACGTTTTGGTCGACGCAGGCCTTCTTCCAGACGACGCACTGGTAACGGTCCTTAGTCATGTCCACCTACAGGCCGGAGGGTGAACGTCGGCTTAGGGCCGTGGAGGTGTAAGGTTTTTGGATGGGTATGGGGGCACGGGCGTGAAGTCGTGAGCATGGAGCCATGGGCGTGTAAGGGTGGAGACGGCGCAACGGCGTGGAGGTCTATTTTCCTATCTTGAGGTCTTCAAAGATCCTTTTACCTTTAAAAAAAGGGCGCTAGATAAGGCCTCCTGCAAGGCACGGCGCCCACACATGTGCGCACTCGACATGGGCAGAGGGATGCCCCCGTGGGCCCTGTGTGGTGCCGCGCCTCCCAACCCCGGTGCCGTTCAGTTGGGCGCCGAGTTACCCGAGTGGTCCGGGCATGCTGTGTATGTGTGGCCTTGGGAGGGGGTCTCGCCGTCCGCCCCCCCCCCCCGGGGAGCCCCCTCAATCGGTCCACAGTGGACCACACGGCGCAGCGTGGAACCCCCCCAGAGGCCCCCGCGCCATTGCGGCCTGGTGCATCCGGCTGGAAATGTAGCCCGATGTAGAATGCCCCGCTCACTTTTGCATATGGCCCGGTGTGTGTGTGAGAGAGTGTGTGTGTGTGTAGTATCCTGGAGGGCATATCACCTGATCTGCATCCGCCGATCGGTACTTTTCTGAAAAAGTCGCGATATGACATTGTGTGTGTGTGTGCGTGTGTGCGTCTCTTGAGACACTGACAGGCTACAGTCAGCCTCGCCTGCTGCTGGTTGTCTCTGCTTCTGGGTGATAATTGCAAGCTGCTGCAAGAACACCGGGCTGCAAGCCTGTGGCCCTCTACCTAAGGCTTGTTTCATCCCTCTACCTGCCGGGGCCCCCATTCAACAAATGCACTGATGATGATCTATTTAGACAGCATTCACACATTCACATCGCCGTCATTCGTACCGCCCCTGGCCGGTTTCCTTTCCCTGTTGACGCTTTGAACGTCGTCATTCCGAACTTCCCGTCTCCAACAGAGACAGCGCAGTGCAGTGCCGCGCCTTCTCTCACCCAAACCCCTGTGTCCGGAACAGGACCCGCTCTGGTCTGGATGCCTCGAACACCCCCAGACGCAGCACTGGCCCACAGTGCTGCACTCCCCGCACACATCCCTATCCATTGTACCGCATTGTACGGCACACTGAAGATACCTGTAGACATCCGTACACGGTAGCTTCTCACACTTCTCACAACCAACGCCGGGATATCGTTGGTACCGCTGGGGCTGGGGCTATGGGTGGGATGCCGGCTGGGGGAAGCGCCACCGAAGTGAACCCCAAGAACAAACCCGCACGGGAATACGAGCAAAGACAAGCCCGTGACATTTTTCCCATCCGGCCTAGCCCGGCCCGTAACCCAGGGTATTATGCCATTTTCTCCCCTCCCCTGCACCGCGCTGAAACGATTTTCGGCGCAGAACAGCGATGGATCATCCGTGCCTGGCCTGCATCAGTTGTTGCATGGCACCGCTTCCAGCGTCCCCCTTTCCTAGGACCGCTCCACCGTGTTGTGCACTTATGACTTGCGCCTAAGATAAGCTACCGGGCGCGCTGGACTAGGAGCTCACCTCCGGGAGAGGACAGCTGTGCTCGCCTTGCAGCAGGGTCCGAGTGCTCACTGCTTCGCCGCGTAGACGCCCGCTGCCAGGATGAAGCACACGAGACGCTGCGGTGTATATGTTGTCGACTGACGTTGCTGCCGGGTAAATGCTGAGCATGGCCATCAGGAGGGCGAACTGCCGCCGTACGCCATACATGCACGGCAGCATCCTCCAGTTCAACTTTTCCTGACGCTTATACGTGTAAGAAAAAATAGCTTTGCGTGCCCACTGCCGCCGGCGGGATTGTTCAACCGCCGGCGGCAATCCGTTTGGTCGCAGGTTGCAAATGCTTTCACACAAATACTGCGCCAGCTCAGCGTCACGCAGTTAGGTATTGTTACAGCGGTCAAACATGGCCTTTATGCTCAAGTAAGGATTGTATTGTCAAAAATCAGTAAAAGTTACGCGACTCGGGCCAGTCCATTAATCGATGAAGTCTATTGATGATGAACCTTATTAAGCGGACTTAAATATGGATTGATGCCAAGTTACTAGCAGTTCCTTCCCATTCGCTCTGCTTCCAAATAGCCGCTACTGCGATGAAAAGGCTTGAGGATGTTTACCATGCGCGATGGGTAGTTTCATCATGGGCATTCAGTAAGCTAGTTAAACAGAAAGGAGCTACCCAATAACCGGGAAGCGTTTCGGAATGTCAGACTGATATGCTCCGGGACCATGTACTAACGCTTGCTGCAAAATGTAAACAGCATCATTAACAATTACCCAGATTTTCAATGAATCTACATGGAATAAAAATACTTGGGATAAACCGTTTCCAAGCTAACGCTAGCAAATCGGCGAGGTAGGCACTCTACATTTCACCGTTACATAGGTCCTGGAAGCTGCGACATGCACCACAACACAGGTTGTAGGGCAGGGCGTATGTCATCAAGACTGTCCTTGAAAACACCGCTGGAGAAGGGTACGGTACCCGGGGGGGGGATCCTTTGTGCGATAGTGGGACGTAGTGACCCCGCCTACTCAAAGGGGCTGCACAGAAGAAAATGAGGTGGCGTCCGATGGTCTTATTGCATGTGCACAGAAACTTGGCGGCCACGAAGCAGAAGCAATATAGTTTTTCGTATGGCTGTAGCCGCCCCTAAAAGGTATAAAACGCCTATGCCACCGTTCCGGCCACCCCGCGAGTCACCGTAGAAAAGCCAATAAAGTTTAAGAACACAATGTATTATGGCCAAGCTTAGCAACTTGCAAGGAATTGTACGGACAAAGAAGAGCAGGAAGGTACAATCGGTCTCTGCCGCAAACCCGTCTCCCCACAGGAAAATGCTCACGCGATTCGCCCTTCAACGGCCATGGCGCAAAATTTGCCATGTAGCGCAAATTCATAAAGTCACGGATGCATCCTAAGGATGGATTTTCTGAGCGACACGTACGTAATCCTCGGAAATTTGGGCTGCGGACTTTCACAACTGCTGCCGAGTTCGTTTTATCGCTTAAGGGGCTCACTACTCCCATCAGTGCACCGGTACTTCCAGCTTACCCCGCTTTGTTCACCTTATTCGCCAGGTTTTTTTTGACGTTTTTTGTTACAAGCTTCAAGCTTGTACGGTCCAGACGAGCCAAAAGGCTCATGAACTGCCGAACTGGAAACAAGAACTTAAAAAGGAAAATGCCAATACCCAACAATAACAGATTGATTAATCTTCAACGTACTGCAACCTGCATCTTCTAATGTCATCCAGGACGTGCGCTAACCCGCGTTGATCCTTGACGCCCATAATCTCGATCATGCGGTCCCCAGGAGTAACCGCCAGGTCCCAAAGCTTCAAACGGATATTCGCATACGCAGGACAATCTAGCAACACATGACATTCATCCTCAACAGCTTGCCGGTTCCCACAGACCCGACACCACCGGGCAGACCGTTCCCTACCGTGCGGTCGATTAACCGCCAAAGGCCAAACACACATCCTGAAACGCATCAGCGTGACGTGTTGTTTTGGCGAGATATAGCCGCTGCCATGCTTGGGCAAACCCATCCAATGCTTATAGCGACACATCTTCACCCCTGGTTGCCTATTATCTGAAACAAACAAAGCTGGATCCACTGTCAACCGCTCACTTTCCCAGTCATCATCAAATCGGCTCCGAAGTTCACAGATCAACTGGCCTACATCTTGAACGTGTCGCCAGAGCATCAACTTTGACCTCAATGTCGCCTAAGTCGTCCACACCCGTCCGCACGTTATGACCCATCAACTCAAGGATCTTCAGGACTTTCACTCCCCATCCATCATACGTCATGCCAGATGATAATGCCAACCGCAGTTCCTCCCGAAAACAATGGTGATACACAGAACCTTTTGCCTCAACCAACCTGTTCCAAAAACGAAAAATTAGGTTTGCCCAATGCACTTGCAAAGGGTATTGACCCAACTCTCTGAATAGTAGCCGATTTGTTGGCAAGCCAGCACCACTCAACTGCTTCAGGAAGTTCTTCTGCAGTTCCACCATCCTGTCCTGCAGTGCAATCTCAAAGTAACGAGATCGTGGTTCCTGGCTGCTAGGGTAACCGCGCTCCAGGATGTCCAGAACCCTTAACGGGCCCCAAACCTGTACCCCATACGACAGAATAGACAAAACCTGGGCATCAAACGCTTTCACCGCAACAGCTGGGACAAAAAGCCCTTGTCACTTAAGCTTACTAACCAGCGAGAAGAGCACCTTCTGGCCTGATGCAAACAACTCATCTGTGCACGATTCGAAAGTTGAACCCGGTCCATAATGCAGGCCCAAATATTGTGCGCGCTTCTTCCAAGGTAAACTCTTGAGCGCGTGTCCTGTAGCCTCCCTCACACTCATGGTAACAAGCCCGTACGAACCCAAAACGTGCATAGCCTTACGTGCCTCCAGGTCCCGATGAAAATACAACACCTCACACTTTCCCACATTTACTCTCATGCCAAAAGCTTCGCACCATTCCTTTAGCGCACGCAACAATGCCATTAATTGCCTGTGCGACCCAGCAAAAAGACTAAGGTCGTCAGCATACAACAGCAAAGGGATACGCATTCTGTTGCTCATGGGGCAATCAGAAGCAGCCATAGCATCTGTTGCAAGCCTGTCCTTAGCTTCTACATAATCCGCAAACCCTTCCCCAAATATGCCGTAGAGTGTTGGACTTATAGGACATCCCTGCTTAACCCCCTGAAACGAGAAAAACGAATCTCCTAGAACCCCGTCCACGTTTTCCATTTATGCGCTTCCATAGGGCCCTCGGGTCCCCGCAACATTCCTTGAGGAAGGTCTCATATCGCTTTACCCTGTACGCTTCGATAGCTTCATGCCGCAACCTTTGATACCGAGTACGCAACCTGCTGAATCTGCTCCACTCCTCAGGATGATCCAGCATAGCGTTTGTCCGCATCTCAGCCTTCTGAGCCAGCATAGCATTTCGCGCTGCAGCGCATTCCTCTGTCCACCAGGGGGCATCAGAGGTCTTCTTCGCAGCCGAGGCTGCACACCTAGGAATCCTACCCACTTTTTTTACCACGTCCGACAAGGTGTTGAGGATAATCTCCACCACCTGGGTACTCGTATACTCCCCTCCTAACTGGGCGGTGGCTTCTGCAATCCGTTGGATAGAGGCAACATCGTCTGTCTTAAAGCAATGCATGTATTGCTCAATTCTGTCCATGTCGAACCGAAGCCCCGCAGCTGCCCTGCCTTTCTGCTGGGATACACCAATATCGAGATCTAGTGCAACTGGGCAGTGATCACCCATCAACCGTCCCACTCCCGGACCAAAATCCGCTACAGGAATTCCCAACACCCGCAGCCAACTGCAGTATGCGTACAAACGTGCCGTGGCAAAGAAAATATCAATCAAGCTACCCGACTCTCGCACTCTATGATGAAATGTTAAGCTGCCTTCCAAATCACCCGCAACGCGCCCATTAAGAACAATCATCTCCATTTCCCGACACATGGCCATGAATGCCTTGCCAAATTGGTTAGTGCCTGCATCCTGAGATCGCCTGTCCGGAACACCCCTATAAAGCTCCACGTTATTCACCTGAAAACCCAAAAGCTCCTCTTGATCATCCTCATACTGGAGATCAGGCGATTCCCACAATCGTCCCACCCTAGCGTTCATATCACCCATGAGAATAACCTCATCCCCTGGCTTAGCAAAGCGTTTCACCAGGGTTTGGAGTCGGCAGGTGACCCGCTTAGCCATCAACGAAGCCGACATCTTGTGCCCCGGTACCGTGTTATAAACCGTGGAGCACTCCAGGGCCGCATAGCATGCCCCAATCAATAACCCGTTTCCTTTTAGCCCTAAAATGCTTCCCTTGATTCGCAGCCAAACGCTGTCCATCCCATGTGGCACTGTTGAGATGCCTGATAAATGGACTGCTTTAGCAAAATTTTCCCTCACCCACACACAGATGCCCCCGCTATTCTTTTCACCCCCAGCTGTAAACACCTTAGATCCATTAGGTAGAACGTCCTTAAGGTATCCCAACCCCACACTGTGCGTTTCTGTAATAACGACATCATACACCTTGATTATTGTACGAAACTCATCGCAGTAAAGTTTCCAGTCAGACAGTTCTTCCAATGTTCCACTGACAGAACCTAATCTTACGAACCTCTTGGCTCGAGACCCCCTAAGCCTTGCCCGCAGCACCACCCCTTGGGGTCTGTCCGGCAGCCCCGCCCGCTTCTGTTCCGACAGGCTGGCTGTCAACCCAAGGTCCCTAAAACGGGACCCTGCATTGTCCGTCCATGACCGTGATGTCGACACCACGTTCCCACCTGGGCTGGGTGCCCGTGTTGTGTAGATGGATGAACATCACCATCTGCTGCTGTCGCAACTGTTTTCCAGACTTCGTGAGTGAGTCCATCAGGGTGATTCCATACCGCTCACGGGCAATCTTCCCCAAGGTTACAAAGGATTTTTAAACTTTGGGGTTAATCAAGATGTCCACCAAGGCCGTCGGTTCCTCAGTACCACCCGATTTTGCTGTTCACAGCTGGCGCCTGTGATGGCCCCGACGCGGATTCAGCATTCACCCTGGGCTTCACAAGCCACGGGAGGATGTCCAGTGCATAGCTGGCCCCGTTCCGGTGCTGCTGTACCAGCTCCTGCAGCACAGCTGGGAGCCGCTTCTCCTCCAACAGCTTCACGGGTACCCGCACCAGAACTTTATCCTCGTTGATCGCCCCGCTGTCACTCGTGGCCTCATAGCATCCGGAGAAGCCTGCTGCGGAGCCGCTGTTCATCCATTCTTCCAGCATGGTAAGCCTTGCTGCCAGGTCCTCAGCGACTTTGGTGACTTGTTCCAAGAGCGAAAGCTTGCCCATGATTGTCAGGAGCACATCCAGATGATGGATCTTTTGATACACACTCTTAAGCATAGTCACTTGGTCCATCGTGTCACCCATGGTTGTGTCTGCTGCCTGTGGCGACGCTGCAGATTCGCTGCCCTCGTCGCTGGCTTCCTGATGTGTGAAAAGCATTCTAACTGAAGTGTTTTCGCATTGCTTAGCGGATTTTTGCACTCGAGCCACAATCTCAGAAATAGACTTCGGCAATCGCCTTTATCTTCTTAGCCATACAGCTTACAAAGATCAGAAATTCACTTGTGGGTGGATTTACTCCTCTGGATGGGGATTCCGTTAGGGTCAACGATGTAAGTCCTTTATCGACAGGCTAGGAGATTCAAAGGTATACTCCACGGCGACTCCGCCCAAGTCTATTTCTGAGATTGCGGCTCGAGTGCAAAAATCCGTTAAGCAAAGCGAAACACTCCAGTTAGAACACTTTTCACACATCAAGAAGCCAGCAACGAGGGCAGTGAACCTGCAGCGTCGCCACAGGCAGTGGACACAACCATGGGTGACATGATGGACCAAGCGACTATGCTTAAGAGTGTGTATCAAAAGATCCATCATCTGGATGCACTCCCGACAATCATGGGCAAGCTTTCGCTCTTGGAACAAGTCACCAAAGTCGCCAAGGACCTGGCAGCAAGGCTTACCATGCTGGAAGAACGGATGACAGCAGCTCCACAGCAGGCTTCTCCGGACGCTACGAGGCCACGAGTGACAGCGGGGCGATCAACGAGGATAAAGTTCTGGCGCGGGTACCCGTGAAGCTGTTGGAGGAGAAGTGGCTCCCAGCTGTGCTGCAGGAGCTGGTACAGCAGCACCGGAACGGGGCCAGCTATGCACTGGACATCCTCCCGTGGCTTGCGAAGCCTGGGGTGAATGCTGAATCCGCATCGGGGCCATCACAGGCGCCGGCTGCGAACAGCAAAATCGGGTGGTACTGAGGAACCGACGGCCTTGGTGGACATCTTGATTAACCCCAAAGTTCGAAAATCCTTTGTAACCTTGGGGAAGATCGCCCGTGAGCGGTATGGATTCACCCTGATGGACTCACTCACGAAGTCTGGAAAACAGTTGCGACAGCAGCAGATGGCGACGTTCATCCATCTACACAACACGGGCACCCAGCCCAGGTGGGAACGCGGTGTCGACACCACGGTCATGGACGTCTGGACATCTGGATGCGCTCCCGACAATCATGGGCAAGCTTTCGCTCTTGGAACAAGTCACCAAAGTCGCCGAGGACCTGGCAGCAAGGCTTACCGCGCTGGAAGAACGGATGAACAGCGGCTTCGCCAGGTTTGGCGTTGCTTGGCACGGTTTGACACCAAACCGTTTGTCTTACCTTGTTCGGTTTGTTGGCGGTTCATGAGCCTTTTGGCTCGTCTGGACCGTACAAGCTTGAAGCTTGTAAACGTAAACGTAAACGTAAAAAAAAGTTACAGCACTTCAAGCTTAAGCTTTAAGCAATAGTTTGCGAATTTCTAGAAGCCTGGAAAGCGGGATAGAAATGCACCTTACGGTGGACCGCGAAGGACCGCTACAACCCACGGTTGCAACAGGGTGTTGAGCCATGCCAAAGTAAATGCGTCGAAAATGATTGATACGTCTTCGGGGATGCGACAGCAGATACTGATTATAAGGAATGCAATGACGCGGAAATGCCGTTTTTAAGGCTGGTTCCGGAGCGGATTGGACGACTGACCGCTGGACTGCGCAAAGGCAGCTCTGCATTCGGTTATCCAGCATAGGTGGCAAAAACAATTTAGCTTGGCAAAAGAATTTTGCTTATGTATTGGAGAACCGCTTAACAAATAGACGCTGAACGTTTTGTTTACAGCTCCATCACGCATACAAATTTGGTGTGAAGTTATGAAGTATCGCGCCATTACGTTTGTTTATGGGCAGTAAAGCGTCGTTAGCCTGTTGGGCGATTATTTGTGGTTACACAGCTGCTCTTATAAAATATTTACCAAAAGGTTATCTACCATGAGTAACTTCTTAAAGGGTATGAGTATGCCCTTGCCCAGGCGGGCGCAGCTGGCCCGTGTTGCGGTCGCAGCGTCAGTGGCTGTGGGCGCGGGTGTCGTCTTACACACAGCACGTCGCTCTGGGCACACACGAGTTGCTCCTCAGCAAATGCAGAGGTGCGTTTGAGTTACTGCGGCTTTGATATGCTTTTTGGTTATATTCTGCTCTTTTTCGTCCCTGACGGCCAACGGCATGACCGCATGGATACCTTAACCTGCGCGCAGCAGATTTTATCTCCCACAACCAGCTGTGGATGCAATTTGTGGAGCTGTAGGAGAAGTCTGTCAGATTGTAATTCTCTATCCGTTGGAGACGATTAAGGTGCGTGCGCGGCGGTTTGGCCATCTGGGTCAGCTTCGCTTGACCTCTAGCGGGCCACCTTGAGGGGCGCCTGTTAAAACTGCAATGGGTAGCAAGTGCAGCGTCAGCTGCCGGGTCTGTCACTACAAACACGATGCCTAGTTGCTTTGCAGGGTCCTGCACAGCTTGTCATTGTATGGATTCTCTTCTGTGTCCCCCTTTCCGACCCCACTGATCTCGCCCTTGTACCCTTCCCCTCGGTTTCCTTCCCTCCCCCTCGGTTCCCGTCCCGAACCTCTCTACCCCTCTGCCCACCGTGGCCTCGTTTCCGCAACCCACGCCCATTCGGCCCTATTGCCATTGCTTGCATTGCCGCGGCATCCCAGGTGCGATGTCAAGCGGATGGCATCAGCGCATCTGCCGTACTGACCAACATGACACGAGACGGCTGGGGTCCCCGCTTCATGCAACAGCTTTACAGCGGCATCGGCAGCGCCACGGCATTCAGCGTTGTCGTGGGCGCTATCCACTGGCTCACATTCTGTGCCGCAAAACGCGCCGCCCTGGACGTGATGGTGCAGCAGGAACGGCAGCAACAGAGCAGCGATGCCGCCGCGGCGGCAGGCGGGGCGGCGAACTTGGTGCATGTTCAGCACACGGCCAGCGGCGACAAGGCACACGTACACTTCAGCAGCGGACACCACATGCACGATGAGGAAGTGGCGCTGCAAGAAGGTGGGGTGGACAAGTTGCACGACATGGCTGATCCCCGGCCGCTTCCGCAGCACTGGCAGCAGTCTTTTTCCGCGCGGGGGCCTTGCGGTGGTGTGGGCCCCCGTGTGGTGTCCGGAGTCTGGGGAATCTAAGCGCCATGAAGGAACTGTATAGCGTCCTGAGAGGACCACTGCCACGATTACGGCGACGTGAAGCTGCTCTGTGCAGGGGGCCAGGACGAGACAATCCGTCGCTATTAAATATGTATATGTGCCGTTTCGGCCGTCTTTTAGGTCTCTGGTAGATGCACCGCAGGAGAGCTAAAATGTCCGCATTAAGCACTTTTTAAGCAATCCACCAAGAAGCGAAACCCCCAAAGGTTGTGGTAACGGTAACGGCTTCTAGGTAGCACCCCCCAATACGGCCATTTCCCCTCGCATGGATAGTATTAATGAGGCTGGCCTTGTGGCTGGCCCCTTTTTTCCCCTCGCCTCGCACTGACGCCGATACCGTCTCTCGCTGCTGTCTCTCAGGAATCTCTGGTGCGGGGGTGTCGGGTCCCGGCGGGGGGTGTACCGCTGACGGGTCCGACGTGGGGATGCTCGCGAGCGCCAACATGGTCGGTGCGACGGTAAGTGAGTCCCTCTCGGTCTGCGCTCCTTTGCCTGCTGTGCCCGAGGGCGGGTGCGCGAAGAAACCTCGGAGCTCGCATCCGGAAGGAAAAACATCCCCGTCGGACTCACCGCATGTTGGTATACATACGAGGTTGGTATTCACACTTGTTGTCGGCGCGCAGGTGGGCGCCATCGCGACGGCCCTGGTGGAGGGCCCCCTGGAGCTGTTTCGTCACCAGGCCCAGGCGGGGCTCATCAGCGGGAACCTGTTTCGGGAAATGGCCAACGTGGTGCGAACCCGGGTGAGCAGGAGGGGGCACCGGGGCGCATGGGTGCGGACGTGCTGATGGGGAACTGGGGGAAACCTTCGCCGTCGCGTCAGGTCGCGGTGCTTTTGCGGTTGTGATATATATACGTACATATGCCAGCTGGGTTAGCAGGACGAATCAACCGCTAACAGGGAGTGATTCGGGCTACTTTGGGCTCCTAATAGGCTCTGCGGATTTACGGTACAGGTGTACTTGGAAGTTTGGAAGGCTTTGGCGTTTGGGATAATTGTCGCGTCCGTGTCCTGGAGGACAGCAGCAGCAGGGGAGGTAGGGGAAGCAGCAGCAGGGGATGCAGCAGCGACGCAGCGTGTGTGGGTTCTCCCCGGGTGGGAAGACCCCGGGTGCTGCAGGGGAAAGTTGAATAACGGTTGCTCTTCATCTGGATCACTTCAACGGAGACTTTGCTGCCCGTACTGCTCTGACTGTCTCGATGTATCTGCATATCCGTCACGGCACATTGGCGTTGCCGCGGGCGGTACCGGTGCTTCGCAGGGTCCCATGGGTCTGTACTGGGGTTTCCTGCCGTACTGCCTTGAGTCCTTTCCGTACGACATCAGCGAGCTGGCGACGTACAGCCAGCTGCGGGACGTGTACAACCAGTTTACCAGGGCGGAGGGTACGGCGTCGCCATTGTTTGGTGCAGCAAGCAAGGTCCCATCGCAGGTACGACAGTACGGCAGATAGGTTTGGCACCACCACAATTGTGGCGTTGCCTGGGGGAAAGCGGCAGGGGGATGGCGTGTGTTGAGGTCGGGTGGCGGACATGTCGGCCAGCAGGGCATGGCGGATATCGCAGTAATTACCCTAGGGCTCTGTGTTCACACGGTTGGGATTGGGGGCGGGGGCGGAGGAGGGGGCGGGGGAGGGGGAGGCGGAATACAACTAGACAACGGACCTGGACACGACCGGCGCCGGCCAAAGGCTGGCAGGGTGTCGGAGGTACGACCGGCACACATGCTGTGGGTTTGTGGCGACACAGGGACTGGTTTTACCTCATAACGCTTGTCAGGGTTGAACTCATATGAGCAGTCAAGGACTTGGTTGACGGTAGAGAGATGGTTTGGGGGCCGTGCCGCCTGGCTGGCTAGCTGAGGCTTCCGCCGCGTTACCTCCAGCTGTGAGCCGCCCGCCGCCTGCTGCCCCCTCTGTCGCAGCCTGGGGCGAGCTAACCCCCTCTGCTGCGGGGGGAACCATCGAACATGAAGCGCTGCCGTGTTGGCAGCATGCATGGCACGTTTCTGTGACGTCGACACGCCTCCCTCACCTCGCCCTCGCATCGTCTCCCTTGCCTTCCTTCGCCCCCTACCTGCCTGCCCTGCTGCACCCGGTTACCTTGCCGACCGGCCGCCCTTGTTGAGCACCTCCGTTACACTTGTGCTCCCACCCTCCCACCCTCCCAACCCCCTGGGGCAGGTGTGGGACATTGCAATCGGCGCCGCGGCCGGCAGCGCGGCTACATTGATCTCCATGCCCTTCGACGTCGTCAAGACATACATGCAGGTAAGCACGATGGTGGTGATGGCGGTGGTGAGCAGGTGCTTGCTGGCAGTGGCGGGTATGCGCTGTCATGGTGGTGACGATCATGTGGCCAGGTGGTGGCTATTGAGGTCCTGGGGACTTGCACAGTCCTGGTGGCTTGGCAACGGAGGGCAGTGGCTTGCAGCAGCAGGAGTACGTTCCGTCTCTCCTTTCTCCCCATGTCCCATCGTTGGGCAGCCGCCCCCTTCGCCACTTTCCCCGCCATTTTACCATGGTCGCCTTTCCCTTCCCACTGCCCTCCGCCGCGTTTGTGCTGTCGGCGCCCACATATACACCCAGCGGCATCGATACTCGTGTCCCTTACTTCGGTCTCCGATACTCTGGGAGGATGGCTCTTCTTTAAAACATGTTACTAAAACTGATCCTTTAACGCGTTACGTATTGGGAGTGAGGATTTCGTATCCTAACCGCTTTCCTCCCTCCAGACTTTCGTGAAGGGACGATATCAATTTTGGACATCTTGCGCATATACTCTCATCCTAACTGTTATCTTTAACGCCGCTTCTTTTTGCACATTTCCGTCCCTTGGCCCTTCCGGTTCCTTTCGCCCTTCCCGTTTATTACCCTCCAGACTCACGCAGCAGACGCCATCAGCCTGAATGCGGCGGGCCAAGTGGGGGCGTTCTTCAAGACGGGAGTGTGGATGGTGACCCATAGGGGTCTCGGAGCGCTGTGGGTGGGTCTGGTGCCGCGCCTGGCGCAGCAGGTGCCCTCATGCACCATCTGCTGGTGGGCCGTTGAGGCATGCCAACACTTCCTCAAGCCCATCACGGAGCCGGCGCCGGCCAGGACGCCAGCCGTGCGTGGTGCGTGATGGCGCTGGTGAGCTCAGTTTTGCAAGGGTGAGAGATGCGACAGGTGTTTCCTAGTCTAGGAATCTGAACGCAATGGGAGCGCGAGGAGCAGGGGAGGGAGAGTGCGGAAACCTTAGGGTCCGCAGCGCAGCTGGGAAACGTAAGGCCGCTTTGAGGAGCCGCCGAATGCAGTGGAGGTCGAGATGGGAGAGGAGAGGAGGGAAGTGGAATGCACAGCGATTATTGGGGGAATGGAGAGGCGCATGAGGGTGCTGGGCAAGGAGGTGTCTTAGAGGATGTCTTCAGTAAGGACGCCGTTTGGAGTGAATATATATAACTATTTTGCAGGGTAGAGTGGAGGGTGCTTGTGGTGCCGGTGCTGCTGTTTTTTGTGCTATAGTCAGAACTCCAATCCTAATATCCATTCTTCTATATCCCTCTATATTTCTCCCTCTGTCGGCTACTTTCTGTCTATGAACAGTTTTTCGCGCTCTTCGGCGCTTGGTACCGAGTCTTAAGTCCTCAATATACCTGAGTGACTTACAGCTGGTGGTAAAGAAGCAGTGCATGTGCAGTGTGGCTCTAACGCGCGTATGTATGTCTGTGCATGTGAGAACGGCGATGGAGAAGAGTGCAGGAGGTCTGTCATGGGTTGGACAAACCCACTGGAAAGGGAGAGCGACACCGCAAAGGAGCGTGGTCTGGACTGCTATACATATACATATTACCTGCGGGTTGAGGGCTATATTACCTCCTATTTCCCTGGACATTCCCTAGAACGGTGGTGCTTTCCGCATCTGTGTGGGGTGTTCTGGTGCGAGTATATTTGCAGACGTGACGGGTATTTTTACACGGGTCGTCCTCGAGGTGAGTGCTGGCGCCCGTGGAGTGAAGGGCCTCTAGGACGGGGACCTTTTTTCGTGAATGCTCTTCCCTGCCGGCCTCGTCGTTAACTCCGGCGCCGTTTCCATGCGGGCGCAATCGTCGACATGGCCCGGCATCGAGGGAGGAGCACTTGATCAGAAACGTCCTGACGTAGCTTTGCGTGGTTTTTCCGTGGATAAATGACTCCTGAAGAGCAAAACATGTTTTGCTCTGCTGTCTGTGGATGGAAAGAAGACCCTGTTTTTGGCTGCGATGTGGGTGCCCCGCTTGCTTGGAAAGATGCTGATGGCTCGGTCAGCCAGCAAACTTCCAGACGCTATTTCAATGTTGTCATCGCCCCAACAACCCCAGGCGCCATGAGCGCCAGGCGGCTGGGGGCCAGATGCGAGTTTTAGATGGCACACGCCGGGGTGTCTGCCCCGATACTTGACGCAGATGATGAGTCTGTCAGAGGCTGTGACTGAAGCGACCGGGGGGGGCCGGTCTGGGGCGGCCATCACAACCGAATCAGATCATGCGGGGCCCTGGCACCCACATACATACAGACTTGGGGGCGCTGCGTTGGTCCCTACATCGTTCAGGGCAGTCGGGAAACATGTCACTTTGGACAGATCTGGGTATGTGTAGGTGTATGTACAAGTTACACGTTCTCCGCGAACACACACGTGCGGGGTGTTCACAAAAGCCTGATGGGGCCCCCAAGGACGGTACAGGACTCCTAAGCCATGAACCATGAACCATGAACGTTCATCAAGCCGCTTGGCAAATACCTTAAGAATGCTCTCAACTGGCAATTTAAGGGTGGCGTAATACGCTATAAGATCATCACCGCGCGTATTAGTGGGGGGTTCCGCTCCTAAGCTAGTACGAAAGGCTAGTACCTTGCTTGTCCAACACTCAGTGACGCCCCCAAGTGCAGAGTGCCAATTCCAGGTCAGCGACAAATGCCCGGTGACACAGAGTTCCCGGCCTGTTAACCACAGAGTTCCAAAACCTAAGTACAAGATTGGTCCAATGGAACTGGAGCGGCCTCTGTGACAGCTCAGGGTATAGGGAAGCCATAGTCGGGCTCCTCGCCCCAACTACAGATCGCATGTATGCACGCTGCTCCTGGACCATGGGATTAGTCATAGCACCTTCAAACCTCACATTTACGAAGTCAGCTCCCCAAACTTGCGCTCCATAAGAATACACCGGTACAACTAGTGTATTGTAGAGAGACATACAAAGCTTGGTGGTGGTAATTTTCTCATCTCGACACAGGGTGCTGAGCCCAAACGTGGCCCGCCTCCCTGCTGCGAGTAGTTGCTTGGTACATGCTGAAAACTGCGCTCCTGGGCCATAGTGCAACCCGAGGTACGTGCTGTCTCTTTGCCGGTCAGCACCCGCAACCCCACTCCACCTAACCGGTGCTCAGCTTCCATAAGCCGCTTCCGCTCACGTGTAACGCCCCCAAAAATGAGGACCTCGCACTTGGCGGCATTCGTGGCCATACCCGTCGCTTTCCAGTAGGCTTCGAGTAGCCCCAGAAGGCATTCTGCTCTATCGTGCCCGGTCGCTACCAGTGACACATCGTCAACGAAAAGTAGGTTAGTGAGTTCATCGCCCGCCAGGCTAACACTCTGCTCGCGGAGGGTGCTCCATCGGCTAGGAAGGCGTACATGGCAATTAGCATCGTAAGCATCAATATAATGAGCGAATACTTCTATGAAGAGTCCCAAAAGGGTTACGCTAAGGGGGCACCATTGCTTCACACCACGCCCACCGTGAATTCAGGTCCCAACCTATTCCCCAACTTGACCCAAACCTTCACGTCAGCGCAGGTAGCCTTCAAAGAATCAAGGATGCGCCCGTGTAGCCCGTACGACATGAGGAAGTCCCAAAGTGCCTCATGGTCAATGGAGTCGAACGCCAAAAAAGTCAATTACTAAAGTCAATTTGCACGATAATAAGCGGCCTGGCTCCGGTCACAGTGTGCTTCGAGATAAGATGCCTTAATGTAAACAAGTGATGCTCGGTGCCAAAACCATGCCTACACCCAGCCTGGTTACCGGCACGTAGCCTATTGCCCTCACAGTAATTGGTGAGTCGCCTCCCGATGATATTGCCGTAAAGTTTGCTCAGGGGACCCCCAACTGCTATTCCCCGGTAATTGTCACAGCATGACACGTCCCCTTTTTTGAATATGGGGGACAGGGTGCTAGTTGTGAATCCTTGCGGGTATTCAGCTCCGTATATGCGGTTGTATAGCACCGTTAAGTAAGGCGCCAACACTACACGGGCTGCTGCCCTTCACTTTCCTTGATAGTGTACTTATAATACTCGGCCGGGGTTCCCTCCAGGCCCGCGGACTTATTGTTGCGCATAGCCTTGAGACCACTAACAACTTCGGCCTCCGTAAAATCCTTGTTAAGCCAAGCAGCTAATTCCCGTCGGTGCGTCACCCGGTCCTCGTCCAGCCATTTAAACTGGATACCCTCATTGCGGCATTGCCTCGTCTCTCCAGTACCATTAAGCACCTTGGAAAAATGCTCGGTAAAAGCACTAATATCTGAGATCCCGCAAGAAGGCGGTTTTCCCCCACGCAGCCGCGTGGGTTGGACCGGGCGTCCTTAACAACGACACTGACAATGGCTAGCCCTGTGTCAAGACACATTTGTGCCAACCAGCGGCCAGAACAGTTGACTCCATTATCTCTATTTTTAAGGGGAACGCCGACAAGGGAGTGTGCCCCTATTCCATTTACTTCGGGCAAGTCTAGAATAGCTGCCGTACGGGCATTAAAATCACCTGTGATAAGCACCTCATCACCCATGCACCGCAGTCTATCTAGCTCGCCAGTAATGCTTCCGAAAACAGCGTCGGGGACCTCGCTATACGCCAGGCCACTACAATCTGTGCTGCTATAAACGCGGGACCCCTGGGGTTAAGAGGTCAGCCAGTTAGCTTAATAGTATGCAAGTAAAAGTCAGTTCAGTTCACCGGACTGGGGCCCCAATGGCTGCTACTTTTAGCCAGGAAAACGCATGCACTGCCACCTTTGCAAACACTCCTCCTGCTGCCGCCTCCACCTCCTCGCCCGGACGCTGCCTTCGCATGCAACGGCAGCTTCAATTGCAACACCAGCAGCAGCAGAATTCGCAGCAACTCACTCACAGCAGAACACGGTGTTTCGCACCGAAGTCCACGAAGCGGTCGAGCTGGAGTCAGATCCGTCGACAATGAAGCCAATCTAAAGCTATGCACCTACCCCGGGTAATGCAGCGCAGCGGGATCCAGTTCTACACATTCGCCACCTGAGCCGCGCACCAAGTTCAAAGCAAGCCTTCCCCTTTGTGCGCATGTGGGCATGCAACCCTCATACATCACGCGTGTATGTATTCTGTATGTGTATGCATGTGTGTGTATGTATGCATGTATGTATGTATGTTGTATGTATGCATGTTGTATGTATGCATGTGTATGTATGCATGTGTATGTTTGTATGTGTGTATGTATATGGCTGACCAGCTGCCCTTCGTGGAATCTGGGGTCGGGGAAAGGGGGTCGACTCCAGGGTGATTCCAGGACAAGGCGGCGACGATGGACAGTCCTCCAGCCGCTGGCGTTATGTAGCGTCTCCCCCACACTTAATAGGGCATTACCTCACATCGAGACGAATTCATTAACGTAAAGAGTAAAATTGAAATTGCTTAAGGTAGGTTCTGTATTAAAGCTGTCGTTAACTTTTATTTGATCCGCATAAAATTTCCCCCCTTGGTCATTGCCTGCCCCCCTGGCTGCGGGTGACACCGGCGGAGCAGTTTCCTGAGCCGTGTGCTTCGTAAGCCGCGTGGGGACAACGGTCGCTTATCCATAGGGTTCTTCAGTCCGCAAGTCTTAAGCCATTCATCCGTTTATCATCCGTTTGCACATCCATCTTGCCACATGCGCGTCTAACGTTTTTAGTATTCGGTCGATGGGCGTTGCCGTACAATTAGCTGCATGCCGTACTGCGGTCCGATCAGGCGACGCCGCTGCAATTCATGGAGCATGTGGTGGCAAGAGGGCAGGAAGAGGAGCAGGAAGAGGAGCAGGGTGGGGGAGGAGGTGGGAGCTGGCAAGGGGTGCTCCTTCGGGTAAAGGAAGGAAGGAAGAGGCGTATGTTGCGTCAATCATCCAAAGTCAGGGTGCGCATCTGTACGATTATCTGTACATTTGCATCTTTACTTATTGTGTGTAGCTAGTATGGCAGCGCCAAGGACGCCCATGAGGCTGCCATCGGCTTTTCCCTGCCGCCTCTCCCCCCCGGCGCTCGTCACCGTTATCTTTTCCGTCACCAGCCCAGCGAGACAGCGAGACAGCTGGGCCCCTGTGTCGTCGTGTCACTCATTAAGGTTCGGCAAAAAGCGTCAGAGAGGAGGACAAATCTGGCCTTGATGGCGCTGCCATGTCGGACTATACCGTTTTCCCTTTCCGAGAAACTCCGTCTGTGGCTTGTTGGGTTGGATTGGGTTGGGCCGTTGCATTAGTTTGTGATACACCCGGTCAGTGCTGTGGGTCCGGTGATGGTTTGCCTCTATCCGCCCGGGTCTCCTGGCCGGCCCTCCCAGATATATTTCAAGGCAAGGAACTGTTTCCTTCGCTGATACCTGTCGTACAATAGGCAAAGCCACTGTCGTACGGTTTTTCGTACCTTTCAGAGGCAACGGCGGGCAGTACCTGGCCGCCTGAAATGCAAAGTGTGCTGCTGGACAGCAGTCGTACGCCTCCTCCTCCGCGTCCGGAGCACGAGTTGTCAGGTGAGCCGGACTCCCCGCCGTCCCTGTAAATGTACGGCAGGGATGGGCACCGGACGCACAAGCCATGGCCTTGGCTGAGATGAACACACGAGGGGCGCACCTGCACATGCTGAAGATGTGTAGTGATGTCACCTGACAACTCACGCACTATCGTATGCATGTTCACCATTAAGTGAACATAACGTGGCGTGTTCCCATCATTTCACAGCGGCACACGCCCTGGGCTAGGCTTACACGACGGGAAGGCTGGTAGAGACGGTGTACTGCTACTTCACGGAGGCGTGCTGGTTACCGTGGGTTACACGAGCCCGCCACAAGCTCAACATTTTCCACTGCAGGCCCAATTTGTCCGATAGATTCCAGTCCCTGTGCCGTACGCGGGGTGAGGGGTCCTTGATGGTGGTGGCCAGCAGGTGGTGTCCCTGCCTCGAAGACCTTTGCCCTGGCAGCCAATTAGACGCCGTGCCCCGGGTCTTCCCTTCGGCGTGTTGGCCAAGTGAGTGACTCTGGTTGCTTGGAGGGCGCCTGTTCGTGCGGAGTTCCGCCTGGCGCCTTTTCCGGCCGTTAATGGCGCCGAGCTGTGCATACCAGCGATATCGGGTCGCTAAGATGCCTAGAGAGCCCCCAAACATCATTCGTTTTCTTCAATCGCTATATAGATGGCGCATTAATACGTTGTGCCCTTACGTGCCCCACTCGCTCCCTAACCCTCACACGCACTTGCCGCCGCCGCCGCTGTCCAGGGAGTTCTCCGGATCTCTAAGTCGTACGGCCAGGGCGCTCAGGCGCGATGTTGACGGAAGGGGCCGTACCAGCAGCAACGGCGGCGATGTCGCTGCATTGCCGGCTCCGACAACGCCAACGCCTCTGCCACTGCCACCACCGTCAGCTCGCTCTTCAAACAACAGCTGCTGCTTCAGACAGGCGGCCGCCAACTGGACCTGACCCTGTCCCTGACCGGGCCCGTGCAGCGGTCCGGACCCTGTCGCAGGTTGGTGCTGTAGCTGACAGGACTTAGGGGATTTGCAAGTGCTAACAACCTCATCAAGGGCTTGCACCTGCAGCATCTGCTGCTGCTGCTGCTGCTGCTGCTGAGAAACCAGGTCTACCGCCGCCGCTGGCACCGCATTGTCCCGAGCAGACGGCAAGGCCACCGCCGGGTCTTGTGGGAAGTACGACGACGGCGGTTGCTGGGGAGGTGTGTTCCGGTTCGTTGTGTCGTCCGGCATGGGGCCGCTGAGGGATGGCCCCAGGGAGGGCTGTGGAGCTGTGAGGTTACGGGAAAGGACGGAGGAGCCGAAGGTGGTAGGGTGAGAGGAGGGTGAGAGTGAGGGTGAGAGTGAGGGTGAGAGTGAGGGTGAGAGTGAGAGTGAGGGTGAGAGTGAGGGTGCGAGTGAGGGTGAGGAACTCCCAGGTCTAAAAACGTCACACTGGTGCGTTTCAGACATCAACAACAGACCCGAACTTTAGAGCATGAGGCCGTACAGGTGGTCTAGCTTGGCTGTTTGTTGTGATAGTGCAACGATATGGCAACGCATGGCCAACTTATTAGACGTGCCGTAGGCGATGTGCAGGGAGCTCATTACCGTGTCCTCTCACGTCCCCTGTACCTTTCATTTTTTCTCGCTGCCAGTGCATGCATGTCTCCCCGGCCCCCCACCCATCTCCCCGCCCCCACAGCAGACCTGCAAGGTTCCCCGCTGAGCTCGTAACCCAGAACGTGGACATGGATCCCTGCCCGCATCAGCATGGGAAGGGAGGACGGGAGGACATAGGGCATGAGGCGGGAGGAGAGGAGTGGGGGCGCGTGGAGGGTGAAGAATGTGTGTGGTTGTGTTTTGTTTGTATGTGTGTGCGATAGAGAAAGGAATGTTCATGCATCTTGACACTCATGTGAGATACACACAATACACACATGCACGCACGTCCCCAATCTTGTCCTCGGTGTGCACCCTGAAGCGCCAAAATCATTAAACCGTTAAACCATTTGAACCCTTAAAACCCTAAAACCCGTGTCTCAACTATCCACCACACTAATACACACCTTGCCCTTAATAGGAACGTCTGTGCGTGTGTCCATGTACATGTACGTGTGATTTCCAATGGTACAATGTTGAGGGCGCCGTAGGTGCCGGAAGTAGGGGTGAAATCGGAAAGGGTTTGTTGCCCCGCCAGGCCGGGGCAAGTCAGGTCGCCAGCACCCGTCGATCCGTTGTTCCGACCAGCACGTGTGATGGCATGGGTCGAGGAGGACGAAGCATGAGGTGGTGCATGAGGCGAAACAGAAGAGGGATGGTGGGAGGCCAAGGTCAGTTCCAAGGGTGTATACGGCATTTAGGGGAAATGTTGCCCCAGCAAGCTGCGTCGTTGGATGAGCATGAGCGGCTGAACGAAACTTGCCGCACATGCTCCGGATACGGATCTGCGAAATGTCGTAGTGATGGGGGTGTTGTAGTGATGATCACAGACCCTGGTGCTGAACTGTGATGGGGGCGACAAGCGACCCCCAGCTCCCTAACTAGCAGCCACCACAGCCCCAGCAGCCCCAGTGGGAGACCAAATAGTCGTCCAAGGGCCCCAGCAGCAGCAGCAGTAGCAGCAGCAGCAGCAGCTCCGCAAACTCCACACGGCCGCGTATGCACGTACCGGGGGAAACGTACTTCAGCGACATGCACAGCTACGCGGCTTCTTCCCCCCTGCAGGAAGCGGTGTGCGCCCTCACAACCCCACAGTGCCTCACTGTCGCACCCACCTCCACGCGCCTCCAGTACGAAACCTGCCGCCTGCTGCAGCAAATTCGCGGTGGCGGCGCTGACATGGATTCGCATGGGGCTGCCGTTTGACTCCATTCGGTTTGCTGTATTGACCGTATCTGCAGCACCAGTGCGAGCCGCCGCGTAACGACACGAGACCGCGGAGGCAACGGAGGACATGGCGTGAGTAAGAACACTAACAGTTAGCGTGGCGTGGTAAAGCATACATTAGGCAGTTTGGGATAGCGCACTTGGGCGGCTGGAGGCGTCGGAAAGCAGCATCTACAGCTGGAAGGTGAGTAGGAGATATTTATAGATAGATTAGGAGATATTTGCGATCTGGCGTCATCCACGACGTGAGCAGCAAGGCCTGCGGGACGCACCTCCCGACCACGTATGCTGACGTCATCGTCGTCATCGTTGACGTGGAACCTCACGACCTCCACCCTAGACCAGGCTAAGGCCAGGCTAGGCAGAGCACTGCCGGCAGGCAGGGAATGCAAACGTCCCCACCCGCCACACTTCATACAGCAAAACCGCTAAGGATTCAAATTACCGGACATAGCACGGGTGAATAGTAGTACTACACTCCATACACACACTCAGGAGCCGCTTCCCCCGTCATCCCCCTCATCCCCCCCTCCCCTCCCCCCTCCACCGCACTCCTGACGCGCCCACCTCCGAACAGGCAGTACCGGGGCATCTTGCGCCCCACCACGGCCGCCACAACGGGGCCTGAATGAATACCCACACGGATTCGAAGGACCTGCCCCCCTGAGAGGACGCGTGTCCTGCAAATCCAAGGTACGACAGTCGTACGTCGTGGTTACGAAAGCGGTATCCATGCGTAGTCACGAGGACAGGCGGGGCGCACTCCGTACGACACTGCCTCCGGCGGCAACCCAATGATGATACCCCTGATGCTGACCTTCCATTTCCTCCCCCATAATTTACCCTCCGGCCGCACCGAGTGAGCTCCACCATGTCCAGGGCCATTTGGGCAACCCGCCGGGCGGCCTCATGCGGGGCCATGGGGTCGGGTGCGCCGCCCACCACCATGAAGGCATCTGTGCAGTGCCAGGAAGAAGATGTGCGGGAAAGGGGCCGTTCGGGAGGAAGGAAAGCAGCCGGGAAGGGACGTCCATTTGAGCATCGTGGTGTGTTTGTACGACCCGCTGTGTCCGTACATCAGTGGAAGTGAGAAAAGTGCGTATTTGGATACGTATTCCGATGTAGATTTGCTATTATGTGCCCATCCAGGGCGGGGGATATCTGGCAGGGGGCCCTCGAGCTGCGCAGCGAGCAGGGATAAGCATGCCTGAAGTTGGCCCACGTGGTTATCTTCTTCCCTCCACACGCGCAACTCCGCATGTACTATTATCATCAGTTCCCCAGCCTGACCCTTGCACCCGTCGGGGCTCGTACGGGGGATCTCGTGTCACCGTATAGGATTTGTACTACAACTCAGTGTAACTCATACACACAGACACGCTCTGTTTTGTTTTGTTTTCTGCCTGCCAAGGTAATCTTTGTTATCTGTCCCCCTTCCTGGCGCAAAAGCTCGCCTCCGATTGTCTCCACCTTGTACAGCTTGTGCTTCTCCGTCAGGTTATCTGCAGGGATGGCGGTGGCGGTGGCGGTGGTGAGCGCGAACAGAACCAAGCAAGCATGTGTGGCCCTTCGCTGCTACTGTTTCTACTGCTACTGCTGCTGTTGCACCCGTAGCTGTTGCCATCGCCAAGCCACGGCGTCCGATGCTCACAAGGATCCTCCTCCCGGGCTAGGAACACTAGCCAGTTGGGTATATATATGTGTACCCAGCCAGCCATGCAGCCAGTTATGTAATGTCATGGCATGGTAGCCATGCCAATCAATTAGCCAGGTCCACGCCAATTCAATGACACTAATAGGAATCCCCATCCAGTATACTATAGTGTACTTGCAGCTACATGTAGCCTCCACAGCCGTAAGCCCGCCGGTTCAGGGCCAGGCCACCCAAATTAATCACCCACATTACGGCACACGTACCGTACTCTTTGTACAGCTCGTCCAGCATCTGTACGACCTCAATGGGAGCCATCTGTGCACTCATGCTGGTGTACGACACAATATCCGAGAAGAGGATGGTGACGCAATCAAACGACTCGGTGAAGATGTCGCCTCGCCGGATGGTGCTGATAACCTGCTGACACACGGCGGGTGTATGTTAATGTTGATGTTCATATCACATTATTACATCTTTCTTATCATAAGGCAACATCTACTTCCTCCAGTCGGAACGCAAGTGACGCGTACGTGAATGTCTGTACGGCAGTCTGACAACGCGGGGCCAGGACGGTACGGCACAAGGGGCGCCTTGATCCCAGACATGGCGACGGTTTCTTGGGCCCTGAGGAAACTCCGAATGCCTGCACCCTATACCAGCTGACATCACCAATTTTAGGCCCACCCCTTCCCCTCTGGGGCCGCTGTGTGCCTGCTGGCAGCTACTACTGCTGCCGCTTAGTCCGCTTCCCTGCCGTGCACACCTACCCCATCTCCCGTCGGAAACCACCACGCACTTCCTGTGGGCCCCCTACCCTAATAACTTCCTTCCTCCCTCAACCCTGCCTTTTCTTATATAGCTCGCGCCGCCTGCTCACCCCTCTGACCCTCCTCTCCTGATTTTCGTTCCCTCCATACGCACCTTTTTGGGAATCATGGCATGCAGCAGTCCCAGGTGTTGCCTCCGGTTGACCAGTATCGTGAAGAGCATGGCGGCCACGAGCAGCGACCCCACCGCAACCACCGCCAGCAGCGGATTGCGCCACTCGGGTGCCCAGCCCGCTGCAGGCTCCAGGAAGAGGGTCATCTCAGCACCCTCCACAGAAATCCGTGCCTCAGCGGGCTTGCTTAATTTCTGCAAGGGAAAGATAAGATGGGCGGGCATATTTGCAAAGGCATGCATGTAAGGGAAAGCGTGCAGATTAGCAAGCTGGGGTGGGGGGAGAAAGGAAGAGACTGGACGGGGGAGACGGAGGGAAAGAGGGCGGCGACAGGGGGAGGGAACCCGATGTTGTGTTGTGTTGTGTTGTGTTGTGTTGTGTTGTGTTGTGTTGTGTTGTGTTGTGTTGTGTTGTGTTGTGTTGTGTTGTGTTGTGTTGTGTTGTGTTGTGTTGTGTTGTGTTGTGTTGTGTTGTGTTGTGTTGTGTTGTGTTGTGTTGTGTTGTGTTGTGTTGTGTTGTGTTGTGTTGTGTTGTGTTGTGTTGTGTTGTGTTGTGTTGTGTTGTGTTGTGTTGTGTTGTGTTGTGTTGTGTTGTGTTGTGTTGTGTTGTGTTGTGTTGTGTTGTGTTGTGTTGTGTTGTGTTGTGTTGTGTTGTGTTGTGTTGTGTTGTGTTGTGTTGTGTTGTGTTGTGTTGTGTTGTGTTGTGTTGTGTTGTGTTGTGTTGTGTTGTGTTGTGCGCACGTCATCAAGGTGTTCGAGAAACAGAGACCATTATTGCGCTGTGAAGGTATTCAGCCCTGGGTCCCATTGACTGAGTCTGCGCAGCATTTATGGAGACACTTGGGTAAGGCCTCCGCCAATTGCCTAACAGGTAAACATGTCAAATGTAGGGGGCACACTTACCCCCCCCCCGCACACACACTTGCCAGGCAAGGTGGGGAAACGTCAGGTAGGTGCCAGGCAGGGTCGGCCCCCAGGGACCCCCAGCGGGTTCCGGGTCCCTACGAGCTAGCCGCAGCTTGCCCAGCCCTCATCCGGATCCTACTAACCTTGTGCAGGTCGTAATAGATCAGCGGTCGAGCCTCCCCAGGACGAGTGGGCTTGGCATTGTTGTTGGTGGCATCAGGGCCCACGGACTGCACATTGGCGCTCCACGCTACCGCCAATTCGTGACTGCCATTGCCCATGTCTGTGATGGTGATGAGGGACGTGGAGGAAAAGAAGATGACTTGAGGCGAAAGCCACGGTGGAGCAAGTCGGCTGGGGGAGTCACTTGAGCCAACCATTCAGATCCAGATCCAGACCCAGATCCGCGCAGTTGTCCCTTCCAATGCCCCACGAGCGAGGGGTTCTTAGCGAGTGGGGCCGTACGGACATCGATGGAGGCACCCACTGGCAGACAAGCGAGCCAGTGATGCAGACGGGCTGGCCTGCCGCTTACCGCATATGGCATATCAACACCCGGCCCGGCCCCTTGCAGGTGTGATGGTGCGTGCTTATTGCGAAAAAATACAAATACGGAAAAACCTCAGCATCTCCCTCATCATTATCAGCCTCCTTTTTCCCTACAAGCTGCAGCTTGTAACGAAAGAGATGCGGTCACCTTTGATACCTTCCGCGACTCCGTACTTCTCTTTCCCGGGTGCCTTGCAGCCGGGCTCGCTCTCACAGCCGCAGCCGCACTGAGCCACGCACCGCCACATTTGCAGAACCCCTACACTTATCGCAATGCTCAGACACCCACCTAGCTTCGCTCGTAGCAGCTCCTTCTGCAGCGCCGGTCTCGACAACACGTAACGGTAGCCAAGGCCCTCCAGTTCCTGAAGCCTCATCACCCGCTCGCGCAGGATGTCCCAGGAGATGAGCACTGTGGTCAGGCCCCACCACTTGCTGCCCGTACTATAGTTGTACATGTACGGCGCGAAGGGCGTGTCGGTGGTGTTGGGGCCGTCCTGCTGGCGGGGAGGCTTCTGCCAGCTCCCGAGATTCCCGTGGACGTAGGTTGGGATGTTGAAGGTGTCATTGGGCGATGCGTTGGGTATGCGAATGGACAACATGGCGACGAGCCCGATACCACCTGAAACGAGGGAAGGGGAGTGCGTGGGTGCGTGGTATGATGGACACGTGGGAGATTGCGTGGGTACGGCGATTACATGTCGTAAACAGCAGGATGGTATCCACCTTGCTTCTTACGAACCAACAACGAGGTCTATTGGTTACACAGACCTGGCTTCCGTGAAATGAGAAGAGATTCGGGGGTTTAAGCTGCAGCATGTGGGTCGTGTGATTTGGGCTAACTGGCCACGATGCTGCCGATGTGCAAACACGACAGCATGTGGCTGCAGGCAAGCGATTAGCGAATGTGTCCCAGACCGCAGCGCTTTGCTCCAAGCGCACGCTGAATAAAGGCCCTGAAGCTGCAAGGTAGGACGCATTGGCAACCATGACGGGGGCGCCGTCAACGGCTACAATGTACGGTGGCAGTGGGAAATTCCTACTTAGATGTACGACTCTACCTTGAGTCAGGTTGTACGGCCCGATAATGGTGAGGTCTGAGGTGTCGATGGCGTGCAGCACCTTGTCCTCATTGAACCTGCGGAAGCGAGGTGGCAGCGGCCGCGGAGCGCCATTTCACCAACTTATTTGCACTGGAACGCGTACGACGGCATAATCTACAACAGCACCCTTGGTGTACGTTACCGTAAATCTACCGCGCGCTCCCTCAGTGCCTCCGTACGGCCCCTTTCCCCTCCCTCCCCTTTTCCCAGCGTCAAGTTAGCCGCTCACTTGTCTTGCAGCCAGTCCTTTCCGATGGCTCTCCAATTTGGGTCGTCGTCTGGAGTGGAGCCCTTGAGCGGCACCATAGTGTAGATGACGCTGAGACGGAACGCAAGGGTGATGCAGGTATACATGTAAGGAAAGGCTTCGTGATTTCAAAACAGATCAACGGTCAAAGCGGGGCAGTAGCCAATCTGGTCCATCGCGCTCGCTCTCCTCGCCACCTAAAAGAAGCTTTGCTTTTTGGATGCAGTTTTATCGCTGAGAGTGTTCTAGGCGAGCGAGCAGCGGTTTTGCTTACAGCTCTACGTGCATCGACAGCAATGCAGGCGGAGCAGCTGCCGGAGCTGCTGTTACGGGCCTTATCTGCGGCCGCGGATCGATCGCGTAGATAGATAACCTGAGAGCTGTGAAGGCAACACCTCAAAACCACATTGGCGTTATTAAGTGGACACGGGTAACTTACCCGTTTGGGATGAGGGATAACGTCAGGACAGAGCCAGCATTGCTTAACCTGAAGGCACCGGTACGGTGTACAGCATTTAGTACGGCACCAGCAGTAGACATGGTCGTATGGAACCTTATCGCGGCAAGGCATCCCGTGCCACCCACTTGACAGCGATGTTCCGTGCGCATGGCAGTCAAGGAGGCCGCTAACCAGCTGGGATGCCACCACCGCAGAGGACCTAAGAAGCTAAAGAAGACAGCTTTTTACAGGCGTTCATTAAGCAGACAAGCAAGTGTGTATTGCCCGTTTCGGATCTGTTGTTTGGAAACGGAAACGGAATTATAAAACACGCAATCCTGACGCCCTGTGCCCCTGTGCTCCTGGTCTTGCGCTCTGGCCTGACCTGACCTGACCTGCTTCAGGTGCCTAAAACCGCGGAAGAGTACGAACCCCTGTACTTCATGTGGCTGAGATGCAGTACACCCTGAGATGCAGTACACCCTGAGATGCAGTACACCCTGAGATGCAGTACACCCTGAGATGCAGTACACCCTGAGATGCAGTACACCCTGAGATGCTGTACACCCTGAGATGCTGTACACATGTGCCTGTATGCGTGCGCGGCCGCACCTGATCATCTCCAAGGCCATGGGCGCGAAGCTGCTGTTAACTGCCTGCCAGCTTGGGTCCCTCCGAACGTACACGCTACAGACGTAGGCGGGCATGAACACCTTGGCCAGCTCCGTGGCCAGGAATATCGCCTTATCACTTGCAATCTGAACGGTTTGAGCGGGGCTGGACGCGTGAGTGGTGATGGTGGATGGGCGGCCGGGCAGGTGAGTGATTGGGCGGCTGAGTGGCTGGTTGGGTATCACGGATTTTCGCGTTGGTCAGCTGGCCGGCTCGATAGGAATGTTTTGAATCGTTTGTCTTAGCACCGGATGGTTTTGCTGCGGGCCTAGTTCACACTAAGTGGACTGATCGAGGCGGAGTTTCATGGGGGCCCTAGCTGTGACGGCGACGTGCGGCCACACGCATGTGAGTAGGTAGCGCGGGGGATATGCAATGCATGCGTACTGGTGCCGCACTGTGTGCAACAAATATTACAGGCAGGGGCTTACTGAGGGCCAAGTGGGGAACGTTTCCGCCGCACTGAGATATCATGTTCCCCTTGCCCCACATAGCTTTTTGTTCGCCACCCAACCCCCCACTCCCAACCCCCCACTCCCAACCCCCCACTCCCAACCCCCACTCCCAACCCTCCACTCCCAACCCCCCACTCCCAACCCCCCACTCCCAAT